GGATCTCGCACTGATGAACTCCTATTATTCTTCGCGCTTCAAAATGAAGACAAATTCTACTTTTTAACTGTTTTGTTTGGTGGGAGGAATATGTTTTTTTTTTTTTTTACTCTGTAACAGTTTGTGTGAATAACAGAATAATAAGTTACTCCATTAATGAGATTTTTTACGAAACTAAGCCTTATTAGTAAACTATTTACGAATATAGACGCGTGGCCAAACTATTTACGAAAGTGAGCTTCATAATACAATTTAAAAAGGTTGTCTTGCTTTGCCTGCCCACCTGGGAGGATTAGACAAATATCTTTGGTACATGCAATTCATGGAAACACTGCCTATTCTGATAAGTTCCCCTCTTATAATAGTGTAATTTGTAATTCCGTAGAATACCATCGCCGTACTAGCAATCTGCGAACAGGATCGTCATAATACTCAAACGAATAGAATAAATTCTGAGTCCCCTGAACTCGATCTATAATTCTACATGGGCGTGACGCCGTGACCATTACTTAATATACCGTACAACTCGGAGCAAAGCTAGCAGACAGGATCAATCGTTGACTGGTTGTTGGGTTTTCGCTAAATTTGATACAGTTACATGACATCCAAAGTTAAAATGAAAATGAGATATGGGGACAGGTTGAGAGAATATCCACACTGTTATTGGTTTTATTAAATCTAGAAACGTCACAAAGTCCTCATTTTTATTTATTTAATTTGTTTTGAATTATGTATTTTGTGAAATACAAAATAAAAAATAAAAAATAAAAAAAACTGAAATACACAAAAACGCTGCCTCAGTCAGCATTTTTGTGTTAGGCTATAACAGGCCTTAAAACGCTGACTGAGGCAGCGTTTCATTAATACTAGAAACACGCTGCCTCAGTCAGCGGTTTTGCCTGGTATATTCTTCCAGGCAGACGCAACGCATTCACTCTTCCTCAAAACTAAAAACTCAAACTCACTCTTCCTCAAAGCTCTGCCGTCGCCGTCGCTGCCGCTGCCGCCGCCGCCTGCTGCCTGCCACCGTCGCCGCCGCCTACTGCCTGCTGCCGCCGCGCCTCTCCTCTTCTTTATAATCACATTTTTGGTACTTCTCACTTATTTGTTTTTAAAATTTTAAAACCTAGGTTAGTTTGATAATTATATAGTACATTGTTTTAATTTGATAATGTTGTTGATTATTCTAAGTTAGTTTGATGTAAATTGATAATTATGTTGATAATTCTAAGTTAGTTTGTTGTAATTTGATAATAGTTTAGTATAAAAGCCCTAAATTGATGTTAGTTTAGTAAGAAAGTTTATGATGAAATTGTGGAAATGTTTGGTAAAAATGTTGAAAATGTTGATGAAATTGTTGATATTGTTGATGAAATTGTTGTTTTAATTTGATAAAATAGCCTACATTGTCGTTTAATTACGAAAATTATGTTATGTAGAATACGTTGGTTGTTAGTGTGAATATGTTCGTTGTGTACTTTGTTTTGGTTGTTATGTGAATTGGAACAATGATGGTTAATTATGTTTGTAGTGTGAATTTCTTGGTTGTTATTGTGCGAATTGGTGGAGATTGCATGCAATTAAGATGTGTTTTTGGTTGTTGTATAGAATATGGCTGCACAAAACGCAGCTTTGTTATGTCGATGGGGGGTGAATTTGTGTCTGATGGACCGAATGTCCAGTATAGTGGTGGAAATATGGAACCATTGCCACTTGGACCAGACATGACTTTCAACGATCTGATGAACGAGGTTCATAGCATTATTGGCTTAAACCGAATGAATGTACAACTTAACATTCAAATGAGGTTTGAGACTAATCATGCACACTTGGATTCATCCTTAATTTCCGATTTTGTGAAGTCTTTTGTGCAGAAAGATCCATGCTTGAAAGTTGAATTTATACAGGAACTCATATCCAAGCATTTTCAGTTCGACGTTACTTATCGAAGAGCATGGTATGCTAGGGAGAAAGCCATAGCTGAAGTATTTGGAGATTGGGGGAGTTCTTATGGCCGACTTCCGCACTTCATGGAAGCACTCAAACAGTCAAACCCGGGAACCGTTGTTGTATGGAAACACAAAGCTCTGGTAGACGATGTTTATTACAGCAACATGGAAGTATTTGAACGAGTATTTTGGGCCTTCGGCCCTTGTGTTGAAGGTTTTAAACATTGTATGTCTGTCATCTGTATCGATGGGACGCATTTGTACGGGAAATTTAAAGGAACATTGTTGGTTGCTACAGGTGTGGATGCAAACTTCCAAGTATTTCCGCTTGCATTTGCGTTAGTCGAAGGGGAAAACATTTCCAGCTGGTGTTGGTTTCTGGGCTGCATTCGGGTTCATGCCACTCAACGGGATGGCCTCTGTGTTATATCTGATCGACATGCTGGGATCATTGCAGCAATGAATGACCCTAACGTTGGATTCACCGAGCCGCGAGCCTATCACAGGTTTTGTGTTCGGCACTTGGCTTCTAACTTGAAGACTCACGTGCGAAGAAACGACATGAGAGATATGTTCAAGGCTGCTGCGTACCAAAGGCAGGAAAGAAAACTGGTAGCTGATATGAGTTTGATCGGTCAGGCGTGTACCAAGGCTATACAGTATATTGTCCAAGTGCCCTTGCCTATGTGGTCTTTGTTTCACGATGCTGGTCGCAGATATGGGATATGTACTACGAACTTCTCAGAAACATTTAACAATGTGTTGAAGGGTGCTCGATTTCTACCTATCATGTCCCTTGTGGAATTAACATTCTACAGAGTCAATAAGTATTTCACTAATAGAAGGGGATTATCTCAGACTAGATCTGAACAGGGACTTGCATACTCCCCCAAAGTTACATCCATTATGGAGAAAAACATTGCAAAGGCTAGATATCACAAAGTGGAAGCGTATAACCGTCGACTGCATATATATCAAGTTGAAACAAAGAGGGGAGATAGAATTGGTAGAAAAGGAGGTCATAGACATACTGTTAACTTTCAGTTAAGAACGTGCACATGCAATAAACCACGGATCTTCCACCTCCCATGTTCTCATGTTCTAGCAGTTTGTGTGAAGTATTCGATATCAGAGCGGCCATGGGTGGACCGGGTACTACAATCAGAGGCCTACGCAAACACATACGCTCCCCAATTCTGGCCTATCCCTTGTGAGACGACATGGAGAGAGAATGGAGGGCCTAAACTCATTCCCGACAACAGCATGGTACGAGGACAAGGTCGCCCTAAGTCAAGACGCATACGCAATGAAATGGATGAGACCAACCGTCCCGCGAGCAAATGCGGCCTCTGTCACCAGCAGGGTCACAACAAGAGATCGTGTCCCTCTAGATCGACCGGGCACTAATTTTTTATTTTTTCTGTTATCTAGAGTGATGTAGTAGAATAGTACGGTGATTGTATTTCTACATTTCAAATGATTGTAACAGTTGGATTTTTAGATTGAAGTATGAGATTTGAAATTCTGTATTTTGTTATCGCTTATATGTAATTTTTACTTTATAATTGTTGGATTATAACTGTTTATGAACAGATACCATGGACACCCGAGATAGGACACCCGGACCCACCGACCCTTCTATCCTTACACTACATGACACACATCGTAGCGTTGACATTTGGAGTCAGTCGGTTGATCCGGCGGGCATACTGACATGCAGGCACTACACTGTTGCGTTCCTTGGCGATTGGGTTATCGATCCCCGCATTCTGCCTTTCGTGGAGTACGCTAGCTTCATGGGTATACATCGGATGGCGTTCAGAGAGGTCGACCCAGCGCTTGTTACTGCGCTTGTGGAGAGATGGAGGCAGGAGACGCACTCCTTCCATCTACCTGTTGGGGAGGCGAGCGTGACGTTGCGAGACGTGGCGATACTCACACGACTTCCCATTCATGGGAGTCCGGTGTCTGGATCTGCGTTGGACGATCCCCCGGTTATGTAGCTCAGGTTCTCGGGGTTCAGCCAGGACCGGACGATATCAGGGGCGGCGGTTGAGGACCGGCTGGATACGCGACACTTTTCGTGTGTTGCCTGATGGTGCTGATGAGGCCACTATTACGAGACATGCTCGAGCGTACCTTTTTCTGCTCATCTCGGGTGTGTTGTTCGATGGCAAGAGTGACAGCCATTTACAGATCATTTACCTGCAGCTGGTAGACCACGACTGGGAGCATATTCGTGGCTACAGCTGGGGCAGTGCTTGTCTGGCGATGTTGTATCGCCATCTGTGTAGAGCATCCCGCCGGGGTTCTCGTGAGATCAGCGGACCGTTATTTTTGCTTCAGGTAACCTACCTATCTGTTAACAATTTAATTCGGAAAGTTCTTACTTAGTTTACAATTAACCTAGTTTTGTGTGTTTGATGTCCAGTATTGGTCTTGGGAGCACATCCATATAGGCAGGCCAGGTAGGCCTGCTATACATCGTCAGGGGCAGCAGGATCAGGACCAGCAGTATGAGCGGTACATTCCTCCACCACGGCCTTCCGCTGACGAGGCGTACGCTTGCAGATGGGCGGTCCCCAAGCTGACATATGCGCATGCGGCGAGGGGCCTGCCGTACTACCGAGACGCCCTTGATCGAATGACCGAGGATCAGGTGAAATCTTTAATTTGTTTATGAAATTGTTATTTATTATGTATACTCTTAACATATTTAATATGCACTAACCTGTTTATTATGTTACTTTTTATGTGTTATCGCAGATGACATGGGACCCGTATGAAGCTGATTTAGTTGCTTCCATGCCTCCACATCTGCTAGATCATCAAGCGCAGTGGCGTTCTAGGGTCCCCCTGATCTGTTTTGAGGTCGTCGAGGGTCACCTACCAGATCGAGTCATGCGACAGTTTGGACTACGACAGACTGTCCCCCAGTAGTGTGACACTAGTGCCCGGCTGCACCGCATTGACCGTCGGGGAAAGAGCGACAGGAACTGGCGGACGGAGCATGCCCAGTACATTGACTTGTGGCATCGACGGTTGGAGTTCGTCGTCACTGGTGACCCCATCCACGGCGTTATGGATCCATACGATCCATACATGGAGTGGTACATGCGGATTACACGGCGTTTCATCAACCCCAGCTACACACCGCCATCCGCACATTACCATCCATCCTTTGACGTGATCAGGGGATATGTAAGTGTATTTGATTAACTTATATTTATCAATTTTAAATTTGTATATCATTCAACTAACTCATCCTTAATTACTGCAGGCGTTGGATATGACGGCGATGGTTGACGCACTGTCGGACGTCCTTCCAGGCATACCTGAGCCGCCCAGAGCACAGGTCGAGCGGGTGCGAGATATGGGCATGGCTACCTTGCAGAGATATGGTCACGCCTATCTCGTCCACCCCCGGGACGATCATGGCGGCCACTCTAGTCACTCACAGTTCGAGGCTGGCCAGAGTAGCTGTGGGGGTGATCCTTCGTCATTCACGGGCGCAGAGGAGTACGACATTCGCAGTTCCGCGCCCCTACGTCATCCTGATGACCCATCTTCTAGCCAGCTGACTCCGCCAGTACGCCCGAACCCATTTACCACGGTCCGTCACTACAGCCGTCGTCAAAGGCCGAGAGTGGACATACAGGATAGAGAGCTGTTACACCAAATTGATGAGTCAGAATAGGATAGAATTATCTGATTTATTTGCTGTAATGACCTTCTCTAGTTTGTTGTACATAACACTTACATTACATTATTATTTTAATAATTATTTGAATGAATTTATGTCTTGTTTGAATTTCAAATTCCTTATTTGTCCACGTGGTGGTGGTGGTGGTGGATGTGGAGGAGGAGGGTGATGGTGGTGGTGGATGTGGAGGAGGAGGGTGGTGGAGGATGTGGAGGAGGAGGGTGGTGGTGTTGGTGGATGTGGAGGAGGAGGGTGGTGGAGGATGTGGAGGAGGAGGGTGGTGGTGTTGGTGGATGTGGAAGGGGGCTGCACTGGCTGCTGTTGGGGGCCTGCTGTTGCTGCCTTCAGCCAACAGATAAAACGCTGACTGAGGCAGCGTTTTATGCTTAGGTGTAAAACGCTTACTCAGTCAGCGTTTTTCTCTGTTATGTATACAAGAAAAACGCTGACTGAGTCAGCGTTTTACTGTATTTCCAATTTTATTTTTTTTAAATTTGTATTTCACATAATACGAAATTTTATAAAAAAAAAATAATAACCAAAGGTAAAACGCTGACCGAGGCAGCGTTTTATGTCAGAAGCTCAGTTTCGTAAATAGTTTGGCCACGCGTCTAGATTGGTAAATAGTTTACTAATAAGGCTTACTTTCGTAAATGAATAGGAAATTAAGACTTACCTAGAAAAAGCAGAGAGATCGAGAAAGAGATGACAGTAAGTTTGAGTGGATCTCGCACTGATGAACTCCTATTATTCTTCGCGCTTCAAAATGAAGACAAATTCTACTTTTTAACTGTTTTGTTTGGTGGGAGGAATATGTTTTTTTTTTTTACTCTGTAACAGTTTGTGTGAATAACAGAATAATAAGTTACTCCATTAATGCTCATTCAATATATTTTCTACTAGTGTCAAAAAAATATTTTTCGTGGAATTATTCCTTCCGTATTTTATTGCTTGTTTCATTTTTTTATATGTGGAATTTTAAGAGGAATAATAAAAAGTGTAATGAAATATGATGGAAGTGAGGTGGGTGGAAGAATAAAAAAATCTTTTAAAAAAAGTGGATATAAGTAGTGAGGAGACAGAATATGAAAAATATTAATACTTCCTCCGTTTTTCTTTTATTGCACCATAAGAACTTTTACATTATTCACTTAATATTCTTTGACCATCATTTGTGATTTATCCATTAGGAAAAATATAGACATGTAGGATCTAGTTAGATTGGTCTCGAAATCTACTTTTCAAATATCAAATTTTTTTTTATAATTTTTACAAAAGTATAATTGAAGATATTAATAGTTAAAGTAATGCATTAACAAGCGTGAAATCCCTCATGATGCAATAAAAAAAGAATGGAGGAAGTATATAATATGAGGGACCACCGGTGGGAAGGAAAATAATAGAATATTGTTAAAAGTTTTCAAAAAAAGTAAATAAGCAAGTAATAAAATACGGAAGGAATACTACGTATGAAATACAAATACAAAGTACATAGTAAGTACTCCGTATATCATATAACTTTCAAAATACCAACAAATTGTTGGCTCGCTTAGTAAAGTTCTTACTTTAGATTCTAGAGGTTTGATGTTCGAATCTTACCAAGTGAGGATAGTTGGGGTAGAGATTCTCTTATCCTTGCCTTTACTCCCAAATGTCTGGGACGTCATGGGTAAATTTTGTTAAGGCCTTGTGTTGGCAATCAACTGTTAACTATTTTGATTTGCTATTAGCCGGTAATTGTTTACATTATATATTTTGACTAACTAATCGTAATTAGTTGTTTACGTAAAAGTGTTTGATAACTAATTGACTAATGCTAGCTATTAGTTGCTTACAATATTCAAACAACCAAAAACTTATTTCGACTCGGCTATTTACCTAATGTCTAAATAGTTTTTTGAAATGGTCAAACAACTCTTTTTGCTTCAAAGATCTTAAGCCTTTTTTGGTTGAATCTTGAAAATTTATATTCCCGTGTAATTGGATTTCCTAGGAAATGCTAAATAGTGTTTGAGTTACTACTCATGATGCTGTTCCATTTTGTAGAAAGTGGAATTTCATAAGAATTTATGCTTACCATGAATTTGTCAAGCAAAAACCACAAAAGAATTTCAATTCTTACACATTTCAACTTCTTATACATTGCTTATTAACCAAATGACACCTTAATGTATGCCTGGACTTAAGTATTGACATAATCTAGAGGTGATCAAGTATGGCCCGACCCTCTAGTCCGGTCCAAAAATAGGGCGGGTTTAGTTTAAAAGTCAAGCCCGATCCGAAAAATCCGTCACTTTTATTACAAGTTTGAGCATGAAATTTGATGTTAAGGTTTAGCCCCACCTGAATTTTTTATCGCCTCTAGATTATCGCATAGTACTCGACTAAAGGAATGACAATGGGACGGATCGGGTGCGGAGTATGTTACCTCCATACCCATCCCTGCCCCACCACCCATGGCGGGTACATTACCACATCCATACCCGCCCCTTCGGGTATAAACTAATATCCATCCCCGCTCTACCACTCGTATGGATATCCATACCCACCTCAAACCCGCCCCATATTCGCTACTATAACACCATATGTCCATATTGTATCATAATAATATGAAGAATTATCAATTTTAACAAATCTCTATTTTGATTATATTATTATAGTATCTAGATTCTAGAGTTTTCTAAATTTGTTTCAACCTTTATAAAAATTAGTAAAGGTTGGATATGAGGCGGGTTTACTAAAAATCCATAACCAACCCATCACCCGTAGGCCATAGCGGGTACACTTTTCATATCCATCCCCACTACATCACCCATCAAACCTTCCATTTGACCCGACCTACTGCAATCCCCGGTGAGCTCCACGTTAAAAAAAAAAAAAAAAAAAAACCAAACAGATCTGATGGGCTAACTATAAAACAGCAGAGGCTAACCCTGGTGGCCCGTTCAAACTAAAGAAATTAGAAACCAAAGGAACAATCACTCGCTTCGTTAGGGTTTTCTCTCTTCAATTCTTTAATTTTCTCTCTCTCCTTGTTTGGGTGACCCAGAAACGTTTACGAAAACGATGTACGGCTCAGGCTACGGTTCGGGTTATGGCTCTGGCTACGCTTCTAGAGGGTATGCTCTCAATTACCCCTTTTTTTCTGCTTCGTTTTCTTTAATTTTATTATTATATGATGTGATTTGATGATTAGGGTTTTGTCCGTGTCGAATTTGATGATTTATGGTTTTGTTCGTGTCGAATTTGATTGATTTGGCTTCACGATAATGTTAATTTGCGTGAAATCTATTAACTTAATATTAATTATATGATGCTATTTGTCGGAATTTTTGTTGTTTAATTTCTTTTTTTTTGGATTATTGTTGACCTTTTATACGAATTGAAACCATGTTTAAGTTAGTTTTTTGATCTAAGAACATATGGTTAATATTCGAATGGAGTTGAATTTGTGAAAAGAATTTGAATTAGAATAGATGTGTTTTTTGTTTAACCCTAATTTCCTTAAAATATTTTGGGTCTTTTTAAAATTGTTGATTGGCATTGCTTGGTTCGGTGATTTCATGTTTAAGTTGAGTTTTTGTGTTCTTGAAGAGGGTAGATTGTTTATTTTTGATTGCGTTTTTAATTATTTATGGGATTCAGACTTTAGGTGTTACTCCTAGGAAATTCTGGGTTGGGTTTGGTTATATTAACAGGTTAAGTGGGGGATTTTTTTTCTTTGTTGGGTATGAAAAGGGCAATGTTGGGAAGCGGGGGGGTTTCGGACGGGTACGAGGTCGGCTCAAAGAGACAAAGAATGATGGAATCAAATCCCTACTTCGCAGTGGGAAGCGCTCAAGCAGGATACCCGCCTTACAACTATGGAAGCAACTTTCAGCCTTCTGGATTTCCGGTGGTGCGCCTCAGAGGTCTTCCTTACAACTGCACTGATATTGACATTCTTAAGTTCTTTGCTGCCCTGGACATTGTTGATGTCTTGTTGGTCAACAAGAATGGGAGATTCACAGGGGAGGCGTTTGTGGTGCTTGCCTCAGCAGTTCAGGCTGACCTTGCCCTGAACAGAGATCGACAGAACATGGGTCGTAGATATGTGGAAGTTTTCAGGTGTAAGAAGCAGGACTATTACAATGCTGTCGCTGGAGAAGTTAAGTATGAAGGAATCTACGACAATGACCGCCCAAACTCTCCTCCAGGTCGATCCAGGAGGTCTGTGGACAAGGACCAATTGGAGTACACTGAGATCCTTAGGATGCGCGGTCTTCCTTTCTCTGTAACCAAGGCAGACATACTGAAATTCTTTGGGGATTTTAAGGTGGCAGAGGATAAAATCCACATAGCAAGCCGAGCAGATGGAAAGGCTACTGGAGAGGCATATGTTGAATTTTCATCCTCTGATGAGGCCAAGAGTGCCATGTGCAAGGATAAGATGACAATTGGTTCACGATATGTAGAGCTTTTTCCCGCAACACCCGAAGAAGCAAGGCGAGCTGAATCAAGATCAAGGCAATGAGGAGTATACTGTAGTTAAGAATTTCTGTTGCTTTTTCAGTTGCTAGATTGAGTTTACTGTTTTGGTTTTATTGTCACTTATAGAATTGTACTTTGCCGGTTTTTTAGTATAGACCTTAAAATTGTCACTTACTCTAGGTTTTCTGCATCATAATACAAGGGTTTAAAACTAATGGATTTGTGCTTGCTGTTTTTGATCTCGTGTTGAATTTCTGTGGCGGCATCTATCCTTGGAAATTTATTTTGTAAGCATTTCACTACCAGCTGCAAATATACTTGTACTTTCTGTACACGCTATACAGGTACATGGATGGTTGCCTCTTGCTATATTAATTGTCATTGTTGTATTGGGTATTTTTAATATTAAAACATGGTTGTGCCATGTCTAATTTTACACCATTACATGTATGGTTATTGGTTTTGCCATACATATATGGAGTATACTATGTGCTTGGATCATTGGCTTTTGCATAAAAACTCTGTATGTTAAAAAGTGAAGATTATAATGAACATGACTGTTTAAGACCTCTACATGGTGCTCGTGTTATTGTTAGGGTTGACTTGTAACAGTTTTATAGACACTAGACAGCTCCTAGCTCGAGAAAGTTAGCTTGGGTTTAGTTCTTACAGTAGTTTAGTAATGGGTACTGTTTATTGGTCGACTTTGAAAGCAGTTGTTGAATTGGGTTTGTCTATGATTTTCAATGGTATTTGATATTGTGGTAGCTTTTAAGGTGGATCAATTTTCAGACCTCTCTGTATCTAAACTTGATCCTGAAGTATTGGATGTTTTGCATAGAATTGTAGAAAATGTTTGAGAGAATGAGAGGTCTGTAGACTTTTCAGGACTTTGTGACGTTTCTAGATTTAATAAAACCAATAACAGTGTGGATATTCTCTCAACCTGTCCCCATATCTCATTTTCATTTTAACTTTGGATGTCATGTAACTGTATCAAATTTAGCGAAAACCCAACAACCAGTCAACGATTGATCCTGTCTGCTAGCTTTGCTCCGAGTTGTACGGTATATTAAGTAATGGTCACGGCGTCACGCCCATGTAGAATTATAGATCGAGTTCAGGGGACTCAGAATTTATTCTATTCGTTTGAGTATTATGACGATCCTGTTCGCAGATTGCTAGTACGGCGATGGTATTCTACGGAATTACAAATTACACTATTATAAGAGGGGAACTTATCAGAATAGGCAGTGTTTCCATGAATTGCATGTACCAAAGATATTTGTCTAATCCTCCCAGGTGGGCAGGCAAAGCAAGACAACCTTTTTAAATTGTAAAGCAGTTTACTGTTTGCTTATCTTTGGCTTTTTATGTTCGTCTTGTGGTTGTGATTATTCTCTCTTTAAAAAAAGGGCCTTTTGGACTTTAATCAATGCGAGTATACTTTAATCCAACGTCAAATAATTGTTGCTAGTGTCTTGTTGATTTATAAAAATAAAAGTTATAAATGTTCCACATGTTTAGACCACTTAATATAAGTATAATACGAGTACTATAACCTAGTTTTAGCCTAGATCCATGGAGTTAATTACTTGTACTTGCTAATTGCCACAGCTACACTTTATAAATATCTCATGGAGTAGTAACTACCAAATTACCGTTTTGACTTTTATTAACTTTTCAACTAGCTTTTCCGTATAATGTCCTTACAATTGTACTAGTGCATGTACTAGAGTATTGTGAGCTGTGACATACCAAGTTGTCTTTTGTCTCTTAATGTTTACCCGAATTTTCTTTTTAATTTGTCCCTTTAAATTTGTTTCTTAATTGTCATCCGTCATCACTAATGGTTGTAAACTTGTAAAGGACTGTGATTGTCAAAAGGAAAGCATTTACTGTAGATTATATCTGAAATTCTGAAGAACCTTACGTACTCACGCCTCACTCTTACTCGTATTACATTTGGTCTGTTTTTTAATTTTTATTTTTTAATTTTTCTCTTATCAAGTCCCCCCAACTAAAAAAAAAAAAAAAAAACAAAACTTTTATCTTATTAGCACAAACAAAAGGAGACTTAGAAGTAATTGTATTGCTACTGTGCTACACATACACATATTATTACAATCTTATTTTTTTGCATGTGTGCACCCCACTTGTATAGTTGTACTATGTCTATATGCATTAAATTGGCCATGGACTCTTTTTGTACCTTTGATTAAGAACCATATTCTTATCTTATGAAAAGCATACTTTACATTTTCTAAAATAAATTTATATGAGTACGAGGTAGGTTTACAAATGCTAATAATGACAATAATCGGTGCAACTTTGTAGAATTAGCCACTAATTTACTAATTTTTCAATTTCATGATAAAATTTGAAATTAAAACATTAATCAACAAGCAATCACTTTATATATAGTGAAACAAATACTTTGTATAAAAAATATAAAAATTTGATTTTTTTTTATTCAAAGGCCTTATGCGGTCGTCCACCTTACACATGCTTTAGAACTAGCTTTGATATGAGTCACGATAACGTCAATAACTTCTTCTCAATGATGTGCAATGTAGTATAGATTTTCAAATGCAGTCTTAGAATTACTTGCAACTTGCAATCAAATGCTTTTGTTTTTTTAGGAGTTGATAAGGACAATTATGCTAAAATAAATTCTCCTTCAAATAATACACCTAATTCAAAAATTAAAGTTGACCAAAAAATACAAAACAGGTTGAGTATTTTAACTATACATTTTTCAGAATTGGACAAACTACACAGCAATACTGTTATTACCTGAGAAAAGGAGAAGAAAGAGGAAGAATTTTCAACACTTTTTCTCTCAATTTTCCCTCTCTTCCTCTCTCCTCCGTGACAGCTACTACCATTGCAGAACTGGGTCGAAGAACAAATTCATATGTAAACCAAAATTCTGAAGTAAAAAAACCCCGGATTTTAAAATGGGTAATATGATGGGTTGCTTTGGAAGATCCACCACCCCAGATTTACTCCCTGAAATTCTCACTCCTAATACTTCTTCAGGTACTCACCTTTTTCTCTTTCTTTTGGAATTCTTCATTTTTTCTACAAAAAGCTCTCATCTTTTTTGGTGGGTCTGTAAATTTTGTTGATATTTTTTTTTTCTGAAACTTTGGTCTTCAAATTGGTTATTTATGTGAAGTTAATTCCTCATTTTTACATTAAAATAAAATGTGTTTTTGTTTGGTCTTCAAATTGGTTATTTATTTCGATTTTTACAGGAATTTCAGGTAGAAATGCATCAGGAAAAGGGTATTCAGAAAGCAGTAGTTCAGGGTATAGTGGGTTTTCCTTTGGAGATCAGCTTAGTGTTGGGGAAACATCACCCAGTGGAGAATTATTGGAAAAACCCAATTTAAGGATTTTCAGTTTTGCGGAATTAAAGAATGCTACTAAGAATTTTAAGTCTGAAACACTTCTGGGTGAAGGAGGGTTTGGAAGGGTTTACAAGGGTTGGATTGATGAGAAGGGTAGTGTGACTTCTAAAAGTGGGTTGAAACTTGCTGTGGCTATTAAGAAGTTGAATTCTGAGAGTATGCAGGGTTTTGAAGAATGGCAGGTAATCAATTCATTTCATATCATCCTACATTTTTCGGTTTTGATTTACGCAGTTCTAAGGCCTAACTATAAGCATTGGATATGTTTCGTAAAATGAACGTAATATTAGTTTAGGAATGCATGACAAAATCACAAGTCGAGTGGTGTTATTAATGTTTAGCTAATGGCCTGATGCTTATTGTTTCTTCTTTTAGTCTCTTATTATGCTGGGCTGGCTGCCTGGCTAACTATGATTATCATTCAGTCACTAGGAGTTCTAGATGCTACAGTTGGGAACCAGTAAGCATTGTCGTTGAGAGCGAATAGTAGAACCTAGGATTGACTGTTTATTGGGTTCTTTTTGTGATGATGCTTCTTGTGTTGATTTTTAAATGAATAGTATATGATTTATTGATTGTGTTTAACTAGCTTTTGTTTAATTGTAAATATTTTAAGAGGTAAAGAGTAAAAGTTGTAATTAGGACTTTTGCATCAAAAAGGAAAGAAGATACTTACCTCTTGGATAGTTGGTAGGTTAATGGGGAGGCAGTTGGTGTTGTCCCCCCCCTTCTTTTGTGACTTTGGTTCTTTATGCATGATGTTGCTAAGGTTTAATTTCTCAAGTTGTGATTTTATATCTTTTTTTTTTTATCAGCATTTCTTAGTCTCGACGATTGAAATTTGATTTGTTAGTCTTCAGTAGTTGAACAAAAACTTGTATCATTATCGTAAAAGTTAGGTTATTATAAATACTGATCAGAATTAATATTTGACATTTTCAAAAAATCGAATTGCTACAGTGCTGATAGTTACTGCCTAATTACGCATGTATATGTTGGAAGTCATGTAAAAAGATATTAGTGACCATTTCTTAACACTTTAACAGCTAATAACTGTTCTTTTGAAGTACTGAATGAACCAAGATGGTTAAGCTACCCTGATGCCAATGTTTTAAGTTTATTACCGCAGGGATAAGGGCTTCAAATCAACCATTAAATTGCTCATATGCTACCTTTTTTTTTTTGTCAATTTGGTTTTAATAAAATGAAAAAGAGCATTCCAAAGTTACATGTAAGGGGGGAAAAAATCTGTGCATGTATCCAGCTGATGAATAGATATGATCAGCGGGAAACCCATCATCATAATGCATCGGGTTTTGTTTATAGTTAATTTATCTGACAGGAAAACCTTCCTATTGGGGTTGTGTCTTATTTGCTGCTTCTGCTAAAAAATGCAGTCGGAGGTGAACTTCTTGGGAAGGCTGTCCCACCCCAATCTGGTTAAATTGTTGGGATATTGTTGGGAGGATAAGGAATTGCTTCTTGTGTATGAATACTTGCCGAAAGGAAGCTTGGAAAATCATCTATTCAGAAGTAAGTTTGAAGAGATTGATTGTCGATAATGCTATGCTTTTTAAGAAAAAGCTAACTCTCTTTTAATTTATAGGGAATACCACCGTGGAACCACTCAGCTGGAACAGGCGGATGAGCATAGCTTTGGGAGTAGCTCGAGGCCTAGCCTTTCTGCATAATTCAGACAAACAAGTGATATATAGAGATTTCAAAGCTTCAAATATACTTCTTGATGTGGTATTGTGGACGATTATATACTGTTTTCTTTATAATAGCTTGGCTACTGTGGTAATATGTTTAAATGCTCTGTAGTAACTACTAGTAAAGTAGTAAGTAGTAAGACAATGAGAATTAAAGGAAGCAACGTATAGCTATGACCTCATTACTTAGGCTGTGTGACTTTGTTCTATCAGATATCATCTTAAATCTCTGCTACTCATGTGAGAATTTGGAAATGTATCTCTGCACACAAATGATATATTTATGTTAATATATTTGACAAGGATAAACAATTCTGTTAAAAGTTTAAGCTGCATTACTATTACGAAATTGTCATCATGTTATGTTTGTCAGGAAATCGCTTGTAATGTTCATTCATCTGTTCCCTTTTTACATGACTGCAGAATTATGATGCAAAGATATCAGATTTCGGTTTAGCTAAACTGGGGCCATCTGTTGGAAACTCGCATGTGACAACCAGAGTCATGGGCACCTATGGGTATGCTGCTCCAGAGTATGTTGCAACAGGTAATATTTCCTTGTGTTTCTACACATGACAGATTTAACAACTTAGAAATAATGAATTGATGATGGATAGATTAGGGCTGTGTACATTTTAGACCCACCTTAAACTCTCATCACTGGCGGGATCTGTACTGGAGGGGGATGCTTTTGTTTTAATAAATAAGGCTCTCCCTTGCGCAGTTCAACACATGGTTGTGAGAGGGAGGAAACAAGCCTACCTAAGGCCCAAAGGCCTACCACTTTAGGAGACACTGCCACCAGGGTTTGAACTGTGGTTATGATGTCAACCAAGATTCGGAAGTGTTGTGTTTTACAGACTACCTTTGCTGTGCATGACGGCTCTGTTCAGTGTTCACATAAACAGCCTTATATGGCTGAACGCCTGAACAGAGTTTATTTTTTGCTTTTTTCTGAACTTTAACTTATATTTTGCTGAAAGTATGTGTGCCCAATGTTCCTCAGGTCACTTGTATGTGAATAGTGATATATATGGATTTGGAGTTGTGCTGCTTGAGATGTTAACTGGGTTGCGAGCAGTTGATTTGAACCGACCAAAAGGGCAGCAAAATCTTGTAGAATGGATGGGACCTTATCTCTCCAACAACAAAAAGTTGAGAATCGTCATGGATTCACGCCTTGAGGGTCAATATTCGCTCAAGGCAGCATTTGAATTGGCTCAACACACTTTAAAATGTCTCCGGGTAGATCATAGAACTCGCCCTAGCATGAAGGAGGCGGTGGAAGTGCTACAAAAAGTTGAAGCCATCAAGGTCAAAGAAAACAGAGGACGCCCTGGAGAAAAATCTCCATCCAATGATAAAAAATCTGATAATTCTCGACGTTCTCCTTACCATCCACGACACCGTGACCCAAGGACAAGGATGGAATCTCAGTCACCGAAAGAGCGGTAAAACTGCACAGTACAATGTAAGACAAGAGGTTTGCTCATGAAATTCCCGAAATACATAATGGGTTCTTTTGTTAATGAGCAATTTGTTTGCCATGTCGAGCGATTTTTATTGTTGATCTTGTCAAATCATGTTGTAAATTGTTTGGTTAATGGATATGGGGCTAATTTATGAGATAAAGGCTACTCGCCCTGCTTATCTTCAAGCTATTAAATGATTGTCTAGTAGTTTATCTTATTTAGTTTGCCTAGTCGTCTAATTCAGCTTCACTTTTGTATATCCATCCAGTGATTTTCATATGATTACATGATTCGTAATTCACTGTAATTGCTCGGTGAATGTAAGTGTGTATGTACATGATTCGTAATTCACTGTAATCGCTTGATAATTAGTTGTGAGCTTTTTGTTTGCATAAAAATAACATGACAAAGAAGAAATTAAACTTTGAAGTTAATCACAACATGCATAATTGAAACTAGTTTGCTTCCAAAAGTCTTGAATTATAGGCTGTGTAACCAACTGTGATCACCCTGGTAAGGATATTTTAAACTGCCGTGCCGTTTCGAAAGAGCATGAAAGGTGTGGGGGCAACCAGATTAATTACGTCGCGATGGTTGGTTGAGATTATATGCAATTATTAAGGTCTTATTGATTGATGTATTCATCCAGTCATTCTCCCTAACAACAGATCGTTGTCTTTAATGGAATACCGGTACCAGTAGAAGTAAATTGTGTAGTTGGCAATGAATTCCAATGATGATGATCAATTCTATTAGTTTGATCGCTTTAACTGCTGTATCATAGGAGGAACCACCTGTACGCTGTATCCATGAAAATGTGGACCACTGTGACTACGACAGTGACCGGATCATGCGTGTTATCCAACTTATTTTACAGGGCACCTGTAATGTTAGATGATTTACTCTGCAGGAGTTAATCTGCAGCAACTGCGACTAGGTCATCTGTATTGACTATTGAAAGACTGGCAGTGCCGGCTTGCACATGGAATTGGTGATACCATGATCAGTAGTTTTAGTGATAGGCATAGACATAGACAGACATAGTCGGGTTAGATTGAAATCGAGAGGAGGGGAATTGCCAGATTTGCCAGCCGAAGATGATCAGGCACAAGTTGAGCACCAAGTGAGGAGTGCCTGCAGAATAAGTTAAAGTCTAAAGTTATACATGCACCAACTTGACATACTTTGAACAATTGATGGTCTGGGTTCGATTGGGGGACCGAGATGGTTTTCCCCGTTGGACTGCAGTCCAAATCCAAGAGCTCTCCCCTATGAAACTAAAAGTTCCTACCCCAAGCCCAAGCCCCTACCCCTGCTCCTTTATCTCCCTGGTTGCTTCTCTGTCATTTACTTCTAATTTTTCTTCTTCTACTTCTTTTGATTTTTTTGTAAGCGTGACTGTGTCTGTCTCTGCAGTGTATATATGCAGGGATTGACGGCAGCAGGCCAGGACTTGTAAGGCAGCACCATAAGATTAGACAGTAAGATCCAATCTCAGTTTCTTTCTCTTGGTCTGGAACTAATTGTTGCATAACAATGGATATAGTTTGATTATTCTTTTTTTCATCCAATTTAACCAAGTAGAGGCCATTTACGAAATCTAATAGTCAACGAAAAGAACTCATTTTGTAACAGGTCACCATTTTTCCGAAGATTCCAAACTAGTAAGGATTATATGTGAACGTAACTATATATTAATTCTAAGCTTATTATTTGTCAACTTTTTTCTTTCAAATTAAAATACTTATATCACATTAAAATTAAATTTTATGTGAAAGGAGTATTTATTATTCTCTTTCACAAACAAAATACTTGAATAGTATATATGTAACAAGACACAACACATACAGAATTACAGAGTGATGTAGCTGGTAATGGACTAATGGTGGTAGGGTGAATTTTACAGGCTATTCTGGCCAGAAGAGCCTCAATTTGTTCCGATGGCAGCAAGATTTAGAGCCAAAATCGTTCCTTTTGGGTTGTGGGCGCATATGATTTCTTTGAAGTGAGTCCAAATGGCTTTAATTAATTTACTTTTAGTATTTGGTGCATTTCTTTCTATTTGTTGATGATCTTGGTCTTGGTAAATGATACAGTGCTATTATAAGCTCATTTGAATGTAGTATTTGATCATTTTAGTGTTCAAATATTGCAGCTATTTGCAGATTACCATGATTCAACAAAGATTTCTTTCATCAAAGATGCAATTGAAGCAGAAACAAATTTAGAATTGAAACCGATAAAATGTTTTTCTACTTTTTATCACATTGTCCCAACCTCTTTCCACGCTACTCCGGAATTAGAAAATGAGACTTATAATCCGGAAATTTGAAAATTGCATACATGACTATTATTTTGGGATAAAGGGAATAGTCACTAAAAATAGTATGGTAGAGGGGGGTGTACCACGTGCATGATACACTCGGAAGTACATTACATATAAATAAAAGAACATTGGGACAAATTTAATGTTCTTTTATTTATGTAATGTTCTTTTTATGAAGCCCCATTTATATGTAATGTTCTTTATTTTATATGTAATGTTCATTTCACCCATTCATTTTCTCTCTCTTCGATACTCTCTCTCCTCTCCCTCTAACTTCTTCTTCCATTTTATTTCTTGATTTTTATAGTTTTTATGTGTTTAATTCATCACTCATAAACACATTTATACTAGATTTTACACTCCAAAATCCGAATTTTACAACCAAATTTTCGGATTTTTCATGATTTGAGAATTTTGGGTATTTTTATTTTGGCTAAAAAACTTGCAATTGAGTGTTCAACTTGCTTGATTTCCACTATTAATTCACTTTACAAGGGTTTTCTACTCATTTGAGATATGACTTCTCTTTCTTTGTTCATCTTTATTCAACTTCATGAATATGAAACCCTAGGTTGTGCTTCAATAGTAAACTCTCTCTTTGCTTGTTATTTTTACCTATATTTTGTGTTTTGTGATAATGTTTGTTGTTCATATAAAGCTTTATTATCATGAAATTACTTGATTGTTTGAATTTTTGGCACTACCATTGTTGTTCATCATCTTCTTCCATGGGTTTGGGTAGTAGCATTTTTCCATTATTTATATGTAACGTTCTTTTTCGGGATAATGTTCTTTTATATATATATGTGTAATGTTATCTTATTTTTAAGTTATGTTCTTTTATTATATGTAATATTCTGTATTTTATATGTAACGTTCTTTTTTATGTACTCTATGTTCGTTTGTAATGTATAATAAATTATTATAACTACGATTTTTTTTTATTTATAAGTAATGTTCTTTTATTTATAGGTAATGTTATTTTAATTATAGGGTGATGTTCTCCGGGTGTATGAAATAATTATTGAATAGTCACAGGTTTCAAAAACTTAAGCGTAACATACTGTTGTGACTTGTGAACAGGACTGAGGGAATTGTTGCAAACCAACCACGGCAACCAGCAGTCCAGCACACACATTCCTATAACATTCTCGAAATTCCAGGACGTTTATACTATTTGTTCGGGAAACTAATAGAAACAGCAGGAGGTATAAGTTGATCTGATAACTACCATTCTAGCAAGTACCAATATGCACTTTGCTGTTGTATACTGTAGTTGTCTCGTGATATATTGATTCCCTTTCTGGTTCATGCATGTTCTAGTCTTTATAACTTAATAAGCAGATTGTTTTCTTGTTGCTTCCTTCTTTCATGCATTATTGGTTCCAAACTTCCAATTATTAACACAAGGCTGTGAATCTGTGATCATGGACTAATGTAGTAAAGGGCTAAAGGCTCTCGGCTGTTACGCGACACTTGACACACACACAAAGGAAAATAAGTAAATTTGCATAATCAAAATATGTATAATAGATTTGTAAAATCATTGGGCGCTTTAAATTAATTTGAATTAAGTTGGGAAAAGTAAACTGATTTTATTGTTTTCTTTTCCCCCAAAGATAGCTTCGACTATCAAGCTAAACTTTTTCACCTTCATTTAATCTCATCTCCTACTTTTGTTTGTTTTTCTTCTCTATTTCTTACGTACCATTGATTTTAGTTGTTGTTATTGTAGAAATAAAAATTATATTAATAATATAAATCTTTAATCAATTTTTTGATTAAATTTAAGACATTAACCTTTTTTTTTTTTTAAAGAAAACATTAACCTGATTTATTACTGTAATTAATGTTTAATTTACGATATTGATATTTCAACTTAAGAGTTATTCCTTGTCCATTTGCAATGGCTAAATCAAAAGCAGCGCACTTTTATTAACAAAATTGAAAATAGTAGTCGTGTATCGTGTACATAAAATAAATTAATCCACCCAAACAGACTTACCAATAATTGTAGTCTTGTGTAGACAACAATTTTTATAAATTGACCCAATTACCCGAATTAGACTGTTTATGAATAAAGACATACACTTCAAATTGACTACTACATTGACTTCTCTACTTCTCTCTCCTTTTTCTCTCTCATCCTAAATCCATGTCGGTTTCCGGCGTAGGCTACCTCGCCGGCGCCGGATTATCATCGACACCACTAACTTTGTTCGGCACTGCCTCATCACAGCGGCGGCCGGCGGTCATTATTGCAGTCAACGCAGAGCGTAAGCTTAATTCATGGCCGGCTTCCGCCGCAACAGCCACCGCAACGCCGACGGTAGAAGTGGCGGTAGGTCAGGATGATATTCATATCAACGGAAAAGCCTTTATTTCCGGCGCGATGGAAGAGGAGCAGGAAGTTAAGAGGAGTTGGAGGGATTACTTTGAATTGGCTAAGCTCTTTATCGGATCTGATGGTGGAAGTGGCCGTGGTCCGCCTCGTTGGTTTTCGCCATTGGAGACTGGGAAGAGAATGCCCAACTCTCCTCTTCTTCTCTACTTGCCCGGTATGTAATTTAATTCGAGTTTTGTATTACTCCGTTTATTTTTAGATGCAACATTATTAGATTCGGGTCTAAAAATATGCCGCAATTAAAAAAAAAAAAAACCGTAACTTGTTAATTGTACAATTGTACTGCATATATTTTTTTCTAAGTGCAACAGTTTGGATGGTATGGAGGTTTAACCATTTAATTGTGATTTTTATACATTTGCTTGAAAATTTTCGGGGTATTTGTTTATGGGGACCAAATGTCTTCATTGATTAGGCTAGGTGGGATATTTATATATCATCAGTATTTTTTTTTTCTTTTTGAAAATAAAAGTGCACCAAAGTGGACTATGATTTCGTTACTTGTTCCTAAAGGTTCTTTGAATGATTATCTTTTAGAGGAGAATTGACATATGAATTGCATTATTTGTTTGTATGAAGATGTTTGGCAAAACTCGCTTGGTAGTATAAATGACATATTGATGTCAAAGTTGTGTATCATTAGCATATGTGGTGATTTAATTCTTTATGCTAGGCTTGTGAGTGTGTAGCAGAAGTAAAGATATAGAAATAGAGATTAATAAATAGGAATAGATGTACTCCGTAAGGCAAGAGAAGTGCTCCCTCTGTGTTTCTTTTTGTTTGCTACATTTGACCCAAAAAGCTCTCACAAAAAGTGGGTTCATCGTGCAAAGAATAAGGGATTGAAGGGACTAAGGGAGTAATGAGAGGGACACACAATTTAAGGAGAGAAATATCCTTATATAGAGGGGGTGGGGACTGAGCACCTGAAATCCATGCAAAAACAGGAAAGTACAAACCCCTAAATGATTAGTGTGAGTATTGCAGATACAAGTCACTATTAGAAATTAAACTCTTAAAAGGAGCATTATGAAGAGGGATAGTGTAATCTTGAAATGCTTGTTGTTTGTGTGGCATCTTGTGGGCATTTGGGATGATCCAATGGCTGCATAACTTTTTCATATACTTAAACGAGGTATGTTGGCTACACGGGTTGGTTTACCAAGTTGTAGAAATGTGGAAAAAGCTCCAAATTTTCCGACATAAAAAATGATCTACATTTTTGCAAAAATATTGAAATTTGCCATCAATGAGTTAGGATTATGTAGAGCAAGTGCACTTGATTGGAGAAAGCTAGAGGCATTATTATTGGACCATGAAATCATAGACAAATTCGACAGTTCGATAGTGCCTTTTCAAAATTAGAAACAACCTATTATCCAATCTTCTACCAAACACATAAGTAACTAAACCACCTCGATCCTCTAATTTTTCACGGAAATTCTGTTTACCAAACGGATGAAACAGGGTTGCACATCTTATATAAGTATATAACTAGCAGTATGCCAGCGCGTTATGTTTAATCTTTCATTACTATTTTTCCCTTTGTTTTTCTTCCTTAAATTTTGAACTCATGGATTGATCAAATATAATTTTCAGGACTTGATGGTCTTGGATGTGGACTTGTTTTACAACAGCAAAAACTAGGCAAGTGAGTATTACATGCTCCATTACCTGTCAAGGATCTTCTTATGTATGGTGCTTGCACTTACCTGTCAACATTTGATGTGAACTAATGAGGTATTGTCTTCCTTTTCAAGGATTTTTAATGTATGGTGCTTGCACATACCTGTCAAGGACCGAACTCCATTTCAAGGTCTACCTCTTTCTCTTTCACTTTTGCAACATTAATTATATATACAACATTATGGAATTACATCTTATATAACAAATGTAAAAGAATTTTTATGTTGAACACATTATACATGTGCTACTCTCCTTTTCGTCTATTCCTCCTCTGTCCCATTTTGTATTATAGTAACCCCTTTACTACTATTATCATTCTCTCTATTATAGAATTGGTAATGCTGGTAGAGGAAACTGTTAGATCAGAGTATGGTTGTTATCCTGGGAGACCCATATATCTTGTTGGCGAATCGATGGGAGGATGTCTTGCATTAGCTGTGGCAGCTCGAAATCCTGATATTGATCTTGTACTCATTTTGGCTAATCCCGGTAAGAATTATTTTTGAGTAACTCGCTTGTGCTTGTAAATTTTTCTCTATCCATTTAAATTATTTTTGAGCTGAACTAGCATCAATCTTATTTCAAATTTCTAAAAAAATATGCCACTATCAGCTAAACCTTTATATGACACATTTTGTGAATCTTTCAATCAACAGTTAAAGTGTTACCCATATGATTTCATCTATTTGACTACTCAGAAAGTTTGGTTCTGCCACATGCAAATATTCTCTATTGTTGAAGTAAAATGACAGGACTTTTAAGACCCTTGATCAATGAGGTTTTACAAGGAGAATATGCAAGCTGGATATATTGTTAGAAACATCTCTCAGGAGATTAAAATATTGATTTAATTATGTCCTCACAAAATTTTGAAAATCCAGATCTTTTATTCTTTACCAAGACTGAATTCAACATTTTAAGTCAACCATCACTTTTCAGTGTGCTGCTAGGTTAATGTACATCCATCATACTATGTCTGGTGGCTACTTACTTCAGGAGAAGTCTAGACATAATTCACATAAATCTTTGATCACAGAGGAGGTTATTGTCAGCAGGCCACTCCACCAAAGCCGAATTTTACTGTGAAAAGGAACTGGGATTTTGCTTTCTTATGTATATTCTGTTACCCTGCATGTATTAGTAATTATAGTTGTTGATTTTGGTCTTGCAGCTACATGTTACAACAAGTCACACCTGCAATCTCTGTTACCTCTACTGGAAGTCATCCCTGATGAGCTTTCTCTGATTAGTTTACCATACACCCTCAGCCTAATGACAGGTATTGTTTCCTTTCTATTATTTCATTCTCTGATGTGTATCGCTTCATCTCTATGCCTGCAGTCTGTACACAGACTGAAGACTGGATAATATTTCCTATCTTCCTCTGTTCATTTAATAAAAAGATCACTGACACCTCTTTTATAAATCAGTTGCAGGATCCGGACTAATTTGTGTTTGTGGTCTTTTGTAATAGATTTGTATAATTTTATGCGAGTAATTGGGTTAAGTTTTAAGTGACTCATAATTAATGGATCTACACCTCAGAAATGACTATAAAGGTGAAATGTCAATGTCCAGCTGTGACTGGTGTCAACATTTGTGCTCCATATATTCAATTTCTTTCAGAAGCCAAGAGTATAGGGCAGCAGTATCAGTTATAATATATTTATCTAAGATAAAACAAGTATATATCAGAGAAAATGTATTTGTCAAGTGATCGTAGTTCCCATGTTGCCAGAAACAGCAGTGTAGGGTAGACCATTAACTGATTAAAATCTTTACTTTGAGAAATCAGCAAAACATAAAATGTGGAGTATTTTAGTCTTTTATTTTATCTCAGAGGATGTAATAAACTGGATATTCAATGAAAGAATTGATATCTATAAGAAAATGAGTTCGATTGATGAAATGAAACGTACAGAAAATTAATAAAAAATGCAAGCTTTCAACAGTTTAAGAGTCTTGTTCTTAAGAGGGGAGCTTAACTTCCATAAACATTATGAGCTGGACACAGTTTAGAAACTGAGTCGTTGATGGTTAACTTTATATTGTGGCTCCCTGATGATAGAGCTTCTAACTTCGTCACTACTCAGTACTCACCCATAATTAATTTTAGACAATGTAGTGAATATTCTGAATAATGAGACTTTTTCATGCTATTCCATATTGGGCTTCAACTACAAGAATTGGACTAATTAGCTTCTGGTTAGCAAAAAAATAAAATAAAAATAAAAAATCAAGCAATTGACAATTTCTTGACAATTTTTTCAGGTGAGCCCTTTAATCTGATCTCTTCTAGTGCGGGGAAAGGGATTGAACAACAGACAACATTGGAACAACTTTCTCAAGGTCTTGGTGAGCTGTCATCATACTTTTCTGTAAGGGTCAATACTTTTAATGAATCTCCATTGCATGCAATGTCTGACATCTTTGAGTCACTGTGAAATTGATTTGTGTAGTTTTGAATGTGTTGTTAGGCTTTTGAGCTTCTATGCTTGTTGCCAAAATTAAACTTTAAGGAAAGACATTATAGAACAATAACTCCTTTACATGCCGTTTTTTCACTCTACATGTCTGCCAGAAGACTTTCTCTTAATTCATGGACTGCAGGGATAATGAATGTTGTTTTGGGATTTGGGGGGAACTATGGGAGAGAAATTAAAAAAAAAATTAAACCCCTTTTACTCAATTTTCATGTCTTCTTTCTTATTTTATGTGAAATATTATTGTAGCCTTTTTGCTGAACATATCAATTCTCTACATATATGGCTTATTGTGTGGCTTTACTTTGTTGAAATATCAAATTGCTTATGAAAAATTGTTCTATTCATGTATGGTATTAGAATGCTATTTTCTTGTCTTTTTATAACCAACAACTAAATAAGAAATGGGTTCTTGGTTGAGCTCATAGTTCATGGCTGGAATTTTCTTAAAGTGAACATGTTTCTTTTAATTATTAATGTATTGGTGCTCAATCTAATTTGCAGAACGTGCAACAGTTATATTGTTGTATTTGTCTGAACAATTGAGACCCAGTTTGTTTATTCACATATTACCTACTTAAAAGACATTCATGATTAAGGTTGCAGGTCTTGGCTGATATCCTTCCTAGAGACACACTTTTGTGGAAGCTGCAGATGATGAAATCAGCTTGCTCATATGCCAATTCGCGTTTACATGCTGTCAAAGCTCAGATTCTAATTCTGGCCAGGTGGTCGTTCTTTTCGTCTCATAAGATTAATCTGTTAACATGTAAACACATATATCCTCTATTACCAGCTCTGATTTGCTTAAACCCCGAATAAAGCATGCTAGTTTAAATGTTTTCAGAGAAGCCATTTTGTTGTCTGCACTAGGTAAATACAAGTATATATTGAACTTTTGCAAGTACCACTCCTTTCTGTGTCAGGGTAAGGTTTGACTCATGGTGGCTATCCTCCACTTTTCACTTTCCTTTCTGAATTTCGGCTTTTATGTTATCTCAGTGGAAGGGATCCACTATTGCCAAGCTTGGAGGAAGCTGAAAGGATTCAAGGGGCTTTACCAAAACAAGAGATTCATGTGTTAAAGAACAGTGGTAAAATGCCAAAGTGTGAGATCCGCAAATTCAACGATTCTGGTCATTTTCTCTTCCTGGTTAGTTGAACTTTGTCCTTTCTTAAAGTTCAGGATCGCACATGCAAAATTGGATGCTCGTATGACATAGTTAATCCCAAATGTAAATATCTATGTAATACTTGTGAGTGTTGTGACACATATAATTGTATTGCAATGGCATTTTCATGTGGAGGGAATGTTATCTGAGTAATATTTTAGAGAGACAAAAATGCATTTGAATTTTGAAGACCCCAGGGAATGATAGTACCCTGTTAATCTCATCACTTATTAGTTATTATATTGTGTGCTTATCTACTCCCTCCGTATTTTAATACTTGCTCCATTTCTCCTGGACACGTATGTCGATGCAAATCTTTGATCAATGATATCTTTAATTATCAATAAGTTATTCATTGAATTGATTCCAACAAGTACCCACAAGACTATATTTTTTCTTATGTATAAATCACAAACATTAGTCAAAGTAAGTCAAATAAAATAGTGCAAAAAGTGCAAATGGAGCAAGTATTATAATACGGAGGGATATCATTTATGATATTCAGATACATTTCTGAAATATGCAAGCTCATCTTCGAAACTTTGCAAATTCACTGTATGCAAATTTACATACAGATCCATTTTCAGAAAAATGTATGTTCATATCACTCTATCTAAGGTGTACGCTCTATTATTTACGCACATAGGTGCACGGTATGATGATAGTAATCTGTCACCCTGTTCTCCTCCTCCCTCCCTGGAAAAAGCAAGGAATCCATCGTTTATTTCTTCTTTAATTGTATTTTATTTATTTCTAGCAAGGGAAGTCAGAAATTTTTTTTCCCTTGTCTCTTCAAGATGAGAGGTTATTAAGTTTTCTTTGTTATTTTAACCTGATAATCCTGGCGACTCTCCTATGAATTAGGAACATTTGGTTACTTCTTTTGCACCCTTTGTAAAAAGTTACTTCTTGATTTAGTATATAGGTAATCTGTTTTGTTTGTTTGTTTGTTTGATTTTTTTTTTTTTTTTTTAATTATCTACCTTTTCTCTTATATTGTGTGGGTAATGTGACTAATTCACTATATAGTATAGAAGAATCTCATGTCCTTCGTCAGTTTGTCTTGTGCACACAATATTAATTTTGCCTCTGACCCCAAATGTTCAGTCTCTTCTGCTTTTAACTTCCCTATCTTGCAATAAATGTACTTGTCTTTACATGATCCTTCATTTTCTTGCTGATTTTCTCTTCTAGTCTTCACAATTTTTTTATTATGTCCTTATTTCACAGGAAGATGATGTTGATTTAGTGACCATTATAAAGGGCACAAGTCTCTATCGCCGTGGTAAATTCCATGACTATATTTCTGACTATTTGCCTCCCACTGAAGCTGAATTTAAGAAAACAGCTGAATCATTCAGGTATATAATCAATTTTAGTATATATTACCTAAATGAACAGCAGTAAAGACACCAGATGTGGAAAAGTTCAAGAAGGGAGAAAAGAAAACTTTCGATGTTATATAAATCATATAGCCCCTTCATTACAAGATGTACGACATTTTAGCAAAACCTTTTGTTTCAAATACTAGTCATTCTACAATTTCAACGGTAAATTAGTGATTTATTCCATTCCATCAATGTAATACGGAGTATTATGTCAATTGACATTATCAAAGCTATTCTTTTTTTAATTTTTTCTAAAATTAAACTGATTTTTTTAATGTTTACATAAGTGGTTAAATTGCGTTATGTTTTGATCAGGAAGGAACAATGAGAAACTCTAATAATACGGTTTAGATGTTTAATGCTGTGTGGATCTTGAAAATAATTGTCTTCAATTCATCATTGATCACAGATGGCTTGAAATTGCTACTGGACCGGTAATGCTCTCTACTTTGGAGAATGGTGATATTGTGCGAGGCCTTGCAGGAATTCCCAGTGAAGGTCCTGTTGTATATGTTGGCTATCACATGATACTGGGTTTGGAGATTTATCCCCTGGTAATAAATTTTATGTCAAAGAGAAATATCCTCATGAGGGGGCTTGCACATCCTATGATTTTTGCAAAGCTGCAAGAAGATGCCCTGGATCTTTCTATGTTCGATTCATATAGGATCATGGGTGCAGTTCCAGTCTCGGCCAGTAACTTCTACAAGTTGCTTTCTTCAGGTTCTCACATTCTTCTGTATCCAGGAGGAATGCGTGAAGCTCTTCATAATAAGGTTCTGTCTCTCTTAGAATATTGCATGTTTTTCGAGTTAAGCTCTTTTTTGTGGAAGGTTAAGGCTTTAAACTATTTTGGTTTATTTAGCCGATCCCACTTATGGGATTAGGGCTTTGATTGATTGATTAATTGATTGATTTAAGGCTTTAAACTATAGATGAATGTCAAATGTATGTAGCTTTCCCCATTATAGGGTAACGTAGAATAGAGGTCTTTTTAGAAAGACCTGCAGTGAACCTTTTATAATGGGATAAGTGGATTTATAGGTAATTCTAGCAACTTAGCAGAGAGCTATTCTATAAAAGCAGGACCAGGACTCCTAGAGTAATATTAATAGTGTGATGCTAATTCATTAGGGAGCATCTACAACATTCTGTATCTTTTAAAGCCACTGCTGGGAAAGGAGGAGTGATCACTGGAGAAGACTTTGACAGAGAAGAGTGGAACTGATTCCTGCACCGTCTGTGATATTGAAATGCTATAGGAGAGCCCCCAGTCTACAGAGTCTAGAAATTTGCACCACTGCAACGGACAGAGATCTACGTGACTAAAGATAATAAAAGCACGGAAGAGGATTGTTGTTGTTGATTGATAGATGATAACCAAAAGGTTACACGATAGGTTAATGACTTGAGGCCATCACTCCAAGCTTTCCAATACAAATTTCTGAATACCCTTTCCCTTCTCATGCTACTACTACTTATACTACCCAGCTTGTTCTACTACATGACAAATGTCTTAATTGCTAACATTACTACTCCTTGTCCTCTTCCTAAAAGCAACTAAAAGCAACAACAAAGTAAACTAATAATCCAAAGTAGCAGATACACTCAAGGTGGAGCTTGTGAGTGTGTTGGGCTGGTGGTGTTTCCTTGCGCCTGCTGCTGTCCCTGACCTTGTCCCCTTTGCCTCCTGCTGTAGGTGTAACGGATAGGTGGTGGAGGAGCATTCATTGCAACCACATTATAATATTAGAACTTAAAAAGCTAACTCTAGCATTACCTCTTCTATCTTCTCTTCTCTTCTTACAAGATTAAGCACATGTATTATATTATGACTTCATTCTTGATTTTAGCATTTCTAGTTTAGATATACATTGAAGCATTCTCATTTGCACCTATGTAGACTTATGAATGGAAGTTGCTTAATTGACCAAAACTTACATTGCTCCCTATAAAATGTAAGGAAAATCAGCCAAGATGATAAAAACTCAATATTGTTTATCGATTTTGAGTGGTATCTTGCAGAAAACTTTTCAGCAACACAGGAATACTGCAACACACAATGCCTTCAATATCATTGCACTGCCTTAGAGAAAAAAAATTAACCTAGACGTCATATCTGAAAAGGGCCAGCTATTAGATGATCCATGAAATCTAGTATGCAAGTAAGAGTGCAATTTTGGATGATTTTGCACTTGTAAGTTAATATGCTTTAATAAGCAGTCATAAACTGATAATACAAGCTCCACTTTAGATGAGTTTAACCTTAACTGGAGAAAATTCTACCTTACGCTGTGACATAAGTTAATGAAGTTTATTGCAAAGCTTGTTTATTTGCTACTACAGTCATCAACACAAATACATCTGAAATTTCAAAAGTAATTTATAATTTATGGCATTAAAAATGCCAGAAGCAAAATGTTAAAAAGAGTAGAATCAATGATTATATAATCATGTGCCTTGTACATTAGTTTCCAAAGACTGCTAATTGACTTGGCAAATGTCTGTTAGTTAAAACATTGATTTTCGAGTAGATATGTGGGCTAATTACATACAGAGCTACTTAGAATTATATGCTGCATGTTTGAAACCCCCTCTCCTTTTTGGAATAGAAACACGGAAAACGCCTATGTAATAAATTATAAATGTGCCAAGTTTTACTCTCTATTGTAGTTCCTGGAATTAGATAAAAGTTGCAGATGCAAGTCTTGCATCTGTATGATTCATTGGAATGATTCTGTTGACTTTCTGTGACAATTTATAATTAGAATTTGATTAAATGTTGAGTAATGCAGGGTGAGGGATATCAGTTATTTTGGCCAGAAAGGTCTGAATTTGTGAGAATGGCTGCTAGATTTGGAGCCAAAATTATACCTTTTGGGGCTGTTGGAGAAGATGACATTTGTGAGGTTAGTTTGTGCTCCTCTGTAATACTTTGTCCATTAGAACTTTTTCAAGTTTGTCCATTCTGTACTACAAGTCTACAACAATGAGCTTATATGAAACTATATGCAAATTCATTCATACACACTCGTACGACACGATCCTTGGCTTACTGAGGATAGTGAGGTATGCAAGTTGTCGACAACCTGGTTCCCTGTAGATGTACTTTTTAACACTTGGTTTAAGCTATACAACTTGTTTGTCTCACTACTTTCATCCATAAATTGCTTGAAATTTTTTATGTATGAATTTTCTTTTGGTTCGGTTTAATATATGAAATAGTTGCATTTCTCCAGATTCTACTAGACTCAGAAGATCAGATGAAGATTCCATACCTCAGAGAAACAATAGAGAAACGAACTACTCAGTTTAAATTAAGGTAATTCTGATCCTGATTCTGACCTGACAAGAATTTTATATGAGCCATTAAACAAACAACAAAGGCTTGCAATAATATGAAAGCATATGCATGCCCCATTCAATCTGCTCATCTACGAGCTAACCTTTGTTATTAATGGTAGGACTGACATGGAAGGGGAAGTTGCAAACCAACCTGCGTATTTACCAGGACTTCTGCCAAAACTTCCTGGCCGTTTCTATTTCCTGTTTGGTAAACCAATTGACACAGCAGGTATCTTTCTGATTTGCTTATGCGAAGATTCTATCTCATGTCTACTACTTCTCTATTCATCATCCAATCAACTTATCTTTTTAGTATTTTGTCAGTTATCTTTGCTATAAGCCTATAATGATATCGAATTTTGTTGTGTATTACAGGGATGAAACAGGAATTGAGAGACAGAGAGAAAGCTCATGAAGTGTATTTGCAAGTGAAGTCGGAGGTTGAGCGTTGCATCTCATATTTAAAAGAGAAAAGGGAAAAAGATCCCTACCGGAGTCTTGCTGCCCGAACATTGTACCACACCATTCATGGTTCCGAGGATGATGCTCCCACATTCGAGCTTTAATTATTATTTACATAATTACAAATGGTCCAGTCATCATATATACTTCCTACACAGCAAACGATTGGTGACTCAATTCTTTCTCTGCTTAATACGAAGTTAAAACTTCAACTTCGTATTGGTTCTGATAATATATGATGAAAAATTAACATTATGTAATTGCTGTATCGGTTTTTTATTCTTTTCATATTTGAATATAGATTTAGTACTGTTAAATAAGGTTGTGGTAATGTGGTCTATGATAATTTTCATAATTAAAGACTAGTTAACGTGTAAGCATTGAAACGCCACCCATAATAATGATCAATTATGCAAATATTGTGTTCAATTTGACTACTCTACTAGCTTAATTCTCCAACAATTTTTCTAAAGGTTTATGTTCTAAGTTTATTTTTGCTTAAAATAACTTATTCTACTTTCTAAGAGTAAGGCCAATATTTTATTAAGAATTGGGCGTGAGAATAGAAAACAATAGTATAATACAAGGTAAAGAATTACGAGAGAAAGGGATAGCTTAGTTGGTTAGAGATTACGAAGGAAAATAAATGGGTCGATTATTTTTTTACTTTTTTTGCGTTTGTCAACTCTTTTATAGAAATTTTTTATATTCTAAGTTAAAAATAATCTAATATTCAATCTATTTCACTATAATTGATGCTGCTAGAATGGGCTCACATTCCAATGCACAAATTTGACTTAATATATTCAAATATATAAGTAAAAAATTATACAAAATTGATATTAACACTCCCCTATATAATCAAAATTGGCACATGTGTGATGTGCTAATGCATGGTTGGCTTTGACCATCGTTATATATTATTATTAAAGATTAATAAAAATTATTACATGGGTAAATATTATAAAATTTCACATAAATACATATTTAAAAATATTTTACATGATACTAATTGTTTTTCATGAATTACTCAAAAATTAGTCTTTGATATGTGAATAATGAAAAGAAAAAAAATAAAAGTCAAATTGTGTCAATTATTATGAAATAGAGTGAGTATACTAGTAATAAAATCCAATCAAAGTTAATAAATGAATAATGCAAAAAGTTAAATTGTGTCAATAATTTTTTTAAAGTGGAGTAGTACTCTATTGATAATAATATATCAACGCAAATCATAGACAAAACCGCTACTTGAAATTGCGATTTTAGTACTTTCCTTGTGAACTGTGTAAACAATTGCTATTTATGATGAAGATCAAACTTGTATTTTTCCCCAAATTAGGTGATAGGTAAGATTAGTTAATTCGTATTTAATTGTATTTATTGAAAAATTGTACTTTAGAGTACTTAATATAACAATTACGTAATACTCTATCCGTTTCGTATTAATCGCAACATTTTCCTTTTACATTCGTTTTATATTAATTGTAACACTTCCTTTTTACATCCGTTTTATATTAATTGCAACAATTCTATATTTGGAAAGGACCTACCATTATTTTATAATTATTCTCTCTCACTAATCACACTTTACAAATATTTTATTATTTTATTTCCTATCAACCCCACTTATACTATTTTTTTTACTATTTATCATTACTACAAATAATACTTTATATTATAAAAAAACCTTTTTTAGGGCACTTTATAAATTTTTTTTAAACTTTGTGAAAACCCTATTGTTATGATTAATACGAAACGGAGGGAGTAATTAATATTCCGTATGCGTAGGAAGAGAACTTTCGTTGGTGTAGTAAGATCACTGGACAAACAAATGATGTTCTACACTCCACAGTCCACATTTAAAGTGTTGTAGACTTTGCCATGTTGTATTCTTGTATATAACTATATATTTGCATTCTCTACTGTTTACTTCTCTCTCATATTAAATCCATGGCTACTTCCATCGCCGGCGCCGGATTAATATCGTCACCGCTTGCATTGTTCGGCACCGCCTCAGCACGGCGGCGTCCGGCGGCCCTTGTTGCTGTCAATGCTGAGCGCAAGCTTAATCATAGCAATGGAAAAGCCGTAACTTCCGGCGCCATGGAAGAGGAGCAGGAAGTTAAGCGGAGTTGGAGAGATTACTTTGAATTGGCTAAGCTCTTCATCGGATCTGACGGTGGTCCGCCTCGTTGGTTTTCGCCATTGGAGACTGGGAAGAGAATGCACAACTCTCCTCTTCTTCTCTACTTGCCCGGTATGTGGTCTAACCTTTTTTTTTTTTTTTTTTTTATACTTCCTCTGTTATATATTTATTATGTGCAACTTTGAATAATATGTAGAGGTAGTATAAAACAATATATTGTTGAGTTTACTGTATCATTTAAGGAAGTTTCACGTACCTAAATTCTAATGTTTTCATTTAGAGCATGTTCTATTCGGCTTATTTTTATCCGTACATGTCTAAATCCGTATAGAAACAACAACAAAAAAAATGTTCGCATTACATATATTCGTACATGCAAAGGTTGAAGTAATGGAGTAGTGACATTGCTCCCTAACTTTGCTATGTAAATTTAGACCTTTTGTCAAAAAAAAAAAAAAAAAAAAAAAATTAAAAAAAAAAAAAAAAAAAAAATCAGACTAACGATTGGTGAATAGATTCTTTAATTTTTCTGAAGAAAATTTTCAAAATCGATCATATCTACCAGTAAATTTCTTACTATATATGAGTTTTTAATCTTTGCTTTATAGTACAATTATGTAGTGTGTTTTGATCTTACATACACTGATAAGTGATAACTTGACTACATTTTGGTTGTTGAGATTTAAGAATAAATTCAAAAATAGCTCGCTTTTGGTTGTTGAGATTTATGAATAAATTCAAAAACAGCTCGCTCTCATGTGAGACTCTCAATCGAAGTAGATAAATGTTCATTATTTTCTCTTGATCTTCTTTGAATCGTCTATGAAGGGAAAAAAAAAAAAAAAAAAAAAAAAAAGTCGTTAAGTAAATTTTCAAAACATTTAATTTTCATAATAATTGCCAAAACCCGTGTGCTCGCAAGCATCTCCAATCACATGGCTGCAAATAATATTATGGAACATACACTAATCGCCTGATCTATCATTAATTGAAAATGTCCTTTCTTACTTTACAACCAATAATAGATATCAATTATTATTAGTAGTCGTGTACTTGAAATTATCCACCAATTCTGAACAAAGATATAAATTCTTCCATAATATTGACAATACTATAAATCTATTATCTATAATATCTATACTTAATTAACTTAAAATTATGAAGAGTTATAATACAATACTCAACTACACTACCTTAGCTTATTACTTTTCTCTTCATCTCTCTCTATCTTATATTGATGGCGGTTACCGGCAAAGGCTACGTCCCCGTCACCGGTGTTGGATTATAATCGACACCAGTGATGAGGTTGTTCGGTAGTCTATAATGCAGAGCGTAAGTTTATTAGTTCATGGCCGATCACTTCCACCACAACAAAAACTGTGACGCCAACTGTAAAAGTGGAGGTAGCTAATAATAAAAACTATCATCATATCAATGGAAAAGCCATAAGTGCAGGTGCAATGATGGAAGAGGACCAGGAAGATAAGAGGAGTTGGAGAGAATATTTTGAATTGGCTAATCTCTTCATCAAATCCGACGGTGGAGGTGGCCGTGGTCATGGCCCGCCTCGTTGGTTTTCGCCATCAGAGACGGGGAGTAGAATGCACAACTCCCCTCTCCTTCTCTATCTACCCGGTATATATGATTTAATACTTTCTCGTTCTACAAATATTATAACAAACCTCTCACAGCTATTTGTATTATTTGTTAAGGTGAAATTAAAGTTAAATATGTCCATAAACAGTATTGGTCTATAATATTTTAAAGGTTGAAATTATAAATAATTACCGTGATTACATCATTTTGTACTTATTGAAAGTCTTCCTTTTATTGACGTTTATATTATTTATTTTCATGTTGCAAATTACCCATAACAAAGTAACATTTCTTCCTTATTATCTTATTACCCACCTTAATTAATTAGTTATGAGGGTAAATAACATGGGATGCTTTTGTGTTTTCTCTCACCATTAATTTACTTTCTTAATATATGTGCACCCTCAAAGGTCTCAATGTTGCAATGTTGTCGATGTCTAATAAGACATTGTGGCCATTATAAATGGGAAAAAAAAAAGTTAATTATATATAGTCAATTACAAATTTACAATGGCCTAGATTTAATACTAATACAATAAAAGTACATATCATGATTAAAAGATTAAATTTAATATAAAATAGGTTAAGCCGTCATATATGGGATAGTTTTCAAATGGCCATGATAAGTTTGTAGCCATTGTTATTCTTAAATATGCATTGTTGATATGTATCATTAAACCTAGGTATTTATTTAGTTGACTAAATAAAAATTTAAGAAATTTTAAGAAAAAAAATAATGATGAATAGTCCGTAAAAATAATTTCAACTAGATCAACAAAAATAATTTCAGCTTAGTAAAAATAAGTTCAATTCAACAACAAAAAAAAAAATTTAAGTTCAACAAAAATTATTTCAGTTCATTAAAAATAATTTCAATTTTGCAAAAATAAGGTGAATTAAACAGGACCTTACTTTTTATTTTCACCTAAACATTTTCTTCCTGCCATTGATCCGTTTGGGTTTTCATTGATGTTCTTGATAATTCTTAATTAACATTCTATCTCTATAATATAAAAGTATGTATCAAAACGAATTTAACAAGATTTCATATATATAACAATAAACTAGTAAAACCACCAAAGATAGTTAAAAGTGACATATATGAATAATCCTAACTCCTAATGTTCAAGTAATGCAAGTAGAAAAAATAGAGGAAATATATACTTTTACTATGTTAAGATTTAACTATTCACACTGTTTACATACTCCCTTTGTTTCGTAATAATGGCAATATTAGGGTGTGCACAAAGTTTTAGGAAAATTATAGCAGGATGGAGACCAAAATAAGATATATTTTATAATACAAAGTATAAAGTATAGTTAATAGGAAAGAAAAATAATAAAAAAAAAAGTGTCAAAATATGAAAGTGTTGCAATTATTATGAAACATAACGAGAAAATGTTGTGATTGTTACAAAACAGAGGGAGTATATAATAATAATAATAATAATAATAATAATAATAATAATAATAATAATAATAATAATAATAATAATAACTTGCTCTGTAATCTAATATATCATATATCACTAATAAATAAAGTCGGTCTCGCAGTCAGGCCACGAGACAGCGACACTTGACATTCCAGTTTTTCGCCTAGTGTCGCGCCACGTAGGCAATAAATAGGTATTATTGTGACACGTATGATGCTAAATAAGCGATTTTTGGATAGATTTTTTAAGATAAAATTGTCGTATAGAGTTTTATTGTCGATAGAATTCTAATATTTCATATCTACAAAATTGATCATAACTTTTTATAAATATCCTATAACTCAATTCTATTTCCATCATCAAATTCATTCTAAAAAGTTCTTTAAAATAAGACCCATTTATAATATATTTTTAATAAAAAAAAATATTTTTAATAAAAAATAGAAAATCAGTAAAAATAAATTTTAATCAGAAAAAAAAATATTAATTTGGTAAAAATACTTTCAATTCATTTGAAATAATTTAAGTGCAATAAAAAAATATCAAGTCAATAATAACATAGATATCTATTTACAAATAAAACTACAAAAAGTATAGTATTTTATAAGTAACCGATATGATATCGTATGTGTAAATATTTTACATTATCAAAAGGGGCTATATGATCGTATTTAACATTCAAGCTAAAAAGTTTAGGACAATCCGGGAATCGCCCAGGCGCAAAACTAATATATATAAAGGGGAGTTTTTTCCCAAGGTTTTAAAGAGCCACATAGGATTTAATTTTCTTAGCGCGTCATGTAGGATTATAAATATTAGTTGTAGCCAATTAAATAAGAGATTATTAATTTTTTTTATAATTAAATAATTCAAATGCCACATAAGCAAAATTGGCGAATGAGATTTTTGAATTTAAATTAATTAAATATAAAATATTATCTTTTGATATTTAGAAATTTATCTAAATATATAACAAATTTTAGCACATAAATAAAATAAAAAATTATTTTATAAAATTCAAACAATCCGTGCATCACACGGGTTTCATCTAGTTCACATTAAACTAGACCTAATCACTTGTCCAAAAAATTAAAAATAAATAAATAATAAAAATACAAATAAAACTTAGACCTAATCAAACATACCTAGGTATTTTTTGGGCCCAAAATTCCCAAAAAAAATAAAAATAAAATATAAAAAAAGTTTAGCCAGTCCAGAAAATCCATTTCTAGTTAACAATTTGACCCAAAATAACAAGTTTGGGCATAACTTGCTTTTTTTGGCTTGAAAGCATGGTTCGAAATGAGCCTTTTTTGGGGCAAAGCCTGGCCCATGATCACCTCTATGGCTCTACATCAAATTTCTAAATATAGTGTGACTAGTGAAGTTAAATCGAAAACAAATTTCTCAACATAAGAATCATCCATATATCTCAAAGGGGCAAGTTCCAAACATCAACAAAACTCATGTTGAGAAACTGGCTCGTTAATTGCAATTTATTTTAAAAAATGACTTTCATGGGGTATTTGGTAAGTGGGTATTGACTATTGAGCTAGAATACATGGACACTTCATCCAACTGTCGTGTCCGTGTCGAACACTGTGTCAAACTTTGACACTAGCTCATGAGACACACGACGATACATCTCAGTCCGTATTCTACTATGATATGGGTTGTTTAACTTTTTTTTTTTAATGAGAACATTTAAGTAAGTAAAGTAAGATAAATAAGGTAATTGTAAAATAATATGGGTGCCTTTATTGGTAGCTCATTGTTAATATGATATGGTATGATGTAATGAGAGGATGGAATGACAAATATATGGTCATTCTTTTTTTTAAAAATATTTATATAAATTTTAACATTCCGTATCCATGTCCCTTATTTTGAGATAAACGTCTTCCCGCATCAGTTTCGTACCCGTATATTTGTCAATACTCATCCTTGTACGACCTAGCTATTGAGGGTGGAATTGGGAATATTAATCCCAATTTATGGTAATTCTCATGTTTGGTTCATGAGAATGGGAATATAAAGGGGAAGGAGAAGGAGAAGGAGAAGGAGAAGGGGAATGGGAATATAGAGGGGAAGGGGAATGGATATAGTGAATTAGAAATTGAGAAACATATAGTGAATTGACTAAAATGCCATTAATGAAATAGAAAATGGAATTAATTTTGAAATGTTCGTAATTGTATAATTTTATTTCTCATCTATGCCCATCTCTTTTCAAACCATTAGACATATTTTATAAATTTCCACCTTCCAACTCCCATTCCCATCATATAATCTCCAACTCCCATTCCCATCATGAATTCATCCGGTTTGCATTGGCCCAGATCACCTTTTATCTAGTTAACCCAGCGTAATTTCCCTCCCATTTTTAATTTCATTGCGCCAAAAACTTCCCATCTTCCACAATGCTTGTATAAAAAAAATGTTCAAATTAAAGTTTGTGAATACATCACCAATTCCTTCACATATCAGTCTACTATTATGTAGCAGAAAGTTACTGGCTCCATTAGTTATGATGCAACCATGAATTTGAGGATTATAGTTTTTTTGGGGAGGAATGAAAATTCATGTGAATTTCAATTTTTCCGGGTGGTGATGGGTTTTAATAGGTTGGGTGGATGAAAAATTGAGGATATTTTGGATTGGCAAGCTCAACAAACTCGTCGCCAACTCTACTGCGAACTGGGTTTCCCTCGTGCTAGAGGTGTTTAGCACTTTGGCGACGAGTTTGTTGATCTACCGTGGGAAACCCAGTTTGCGGTAGAGTTGAATATGCTCAAATTTCATGATATGGGAAAATAGGATGGGAGAGAAAAACTGAAAAATGTGGGCTTGGTTTTTGGAGAGAGAAACAGATTTAACTGTTTAAGGGGGTGTTTGTTACTTTGGTTGTGGTGGTGAAGAGGTAAACGGATGGTGGGGTACTAGGGTTTGTGGGGAAAAAATAAAATTATTTGATGAATTCCGTCAATTGGTAGTGTTACCACTCACGAAGGAGGTAATTTTTGACAAATTTTCAATCTTTTAACGAGTGCTTTACTGGTAGTACAATTTGCTATGTTTGATGTTTCATTACTTATTCAAAGTTGGCTTTTATCAAATAATTTACAGGAATTGATGGTCTTGGATGTGGACTTGTTTTACAACACCAGAACCTAGGCAAGTGAGTATTAGCCGCCTCATTAGTTCATTCCCAATCCTTTTACTTCACTGTTTATATAATTTCATTGGCTAAAAGCCTGTTTTTGTAACAACAAAAATATCCTATTTTGGCTGTTTAATATGTAATTGTTGATGCAAAAGATATGTCCATGAGATTTTATAAACATGTACTGCTAATAGTGACCATAAACCTTTACACTTTGTTTGGATGAGACTCATGAGAGAAAATTGGAAAGAAAGGGCGTGAAGGGAAAGGGAGGGGAACAGATTCCTGTGTTTGGATGAGAGGTTGGGGGAATGAAGTTGAGGGAAAAGGCCCTCCCTGTTTAATAAACAATATCCCTTTGGAGAAATTTAGAAGGAAATGACCCCCTCCCCTCCTCCCTTTTCCCTACATTCCTATCTATCTTTGCTATACAAAGCAAGTGTTCATCACGCCGAACTAATGGGATATTGTCTTCTTTGTCAAGGATATTTGATGTATGGTGCTTGCACATACCTGTCAAGGATCGAACTCCATTCCAAGGTCTACCTTTTTTTGATTTTGCACCGTGAATGTATATTAGTTATATACATATATGCAGAGTACAATGTCTGTTTTTTTATTTTTTGTAACCTGTTATCCTGTTTTGTATTATACTTTCTAATAAACTACATGATTATGCAATCACATCTATTCAACAAATGTAGTGTATATTCATGTTGAACACATTTTACATAAATATAATGTGTTGTAGTAATAACCCCAATGTTTGTGATTATAAGACAATATTGTTTTACTACTGTTATCATTCTTTCTTCATTTAGAACTGGTATTGCTGGTTGAGGAAACTGTAAGGTCAGAGAATCTTCGGTCCCATGAGAAACCCATTTATCTTGTTGGAGAATCAATTGGAGGATGTGTTGCATTAGCTGTGGCTGCTCGAAATCCTGATATTGATCTTGTACTCATTTTGGCTAATCCTGGTAAGAATTATTGTTTGTGTATTGCAAATTTTTCTCTATGATTTCCCATGTAAATTTTCTTGAGCTGAACTACCATCAATATTTTATTCCCATGTATTTTTTTTTTTTTTTTTTTTTTAAATAGAAAATATACCATTAAGTTGTATCAGCTAAACTTTAGCTAAATGTGATGCATTCTGTGAATCTCATTCAACGTTTAGAATGATATGATTTTATCGATACCCGGTTCCACGATTTGCAAAAATTCTCTATTGTTGAAGTGAAATGCCTAGGACGTACAAAGACCATTGGTTAATGAGGAATATCTAGGAGCATATGTAAGCTAGATTAAAATTATGTTAAAACATCTCTCAAATCCTGGAGATTAGAACATTGATTTTGTTATCTCTGGTATTTGATCCTATCAAAATTGTATTCAACATTGTTAGTCTACAATCACTTGTTAGTTTGCCTCTCCATAAAGTCCAAACTTTACTGTGGAAATGAAACAGAATTTAACTCTCATGTTTATTCAGTTACCTTGCTTGAACTAGTGATTTGTTGATTGGTCTTGCAGCTACATGTTATAGCAAATCAAACCTGCTACTTCTATTTCCTTTACTGAAAATCATCCCCAATTACATTTCTCTGATCAGTATACGAAACATGCTCGGCCTTATGACAGGTTTAGTTTCCTTTTCATTTATTTGATTTTGTATTGCTTCATATCTAAGCCAACAGTTTTTGCATGCTAAGACTGAGTACTATTTCCTAATCTTCCTAGGTTCTTTTAATCAAAGGCTCATTGATACCTCTTTAGTAGAGCAGGTGTAGGGTCCTAATTAATTTGTGCTCTAAGTTACTCATAATTAATGGTCCTACACCATAGATATAAGTGTGAGGGTGAAAATGCAATGTCCTCCTTTGGTGACTGCAGTGCTCCACATATTCAAATTCTGTCATCAACAAAACGGACGGGGCAGCTGTATCAGTTTATATATGTGCTTCTGAGATAATAATTTATCAGATCAAGTTATTGTAGTGTGCCCATGTTACCAGATTCTGCATTGGAGATTTGTTCTTGATTTTTTTTTTTAATCAACCAAAAATGAGGTGTGGAGTATAATAGTTTGAGGAATATATATTTCTCTCATTATTTTCACTCAAACGAGTAGATCTGTATAGAAACATATTGAGACTCAAAACTGAAATTAATAAAGACAATATCAACTTGTCTCCGAAATAGAAATACTCTAAAGTTTGGCCTTCAAATTTGCAAACTAAGCTGTTGGATTTCAATGCAGGGTATGTACCACGCCCTGAAATATGAGACCTAAACTCATAATTACGAAATGCTAACATTGCAATGTTGAATAACAAATGATAGGAATACCTGATGATACAGTTTTATAAGCAGTGATTTGAATAGAGGAGAGCTTGACTTCCATAAAACATAGCGAGCTGGAGTGCTGGACATAGGTTAGAAGCTGAATTGCTAATAGAACTTGTGATATCCCTCCCTGAACATTGTGTTTATAACTTCGTCACCACTAACATATCACTAATGATGGGTAGTGCAGCAAATTTTCTGAGCCATGAGAATTTTTCATCACTAATCCATGTTTGTTTCAATGAGGACAAGAGTAGAAGACTAGTTGTATCTGGCTAGCAAAAAAATTAAGCAACTGACAATTTCCTTTCAATTTCCCCAGGTGAACCCTTTAATTTGATCTCATCTAGTGTGGAGAAAGGGCTTGAACGACAAGCAACATTGGAACAACTTTCTCAAGGTCTTGGTGATCTGTTATCCTACTTATCTGTAAGGCCCAATACTCTTATTAAATCTCCATTGCACAATTTATTTTACATTTATGATAGTCAGGTATGTACAGTAGATTGTCCATATATTTGTGTTTTTGTTTTTTTTTTGAGCTGTGTTGTATCAAGGCTTTTGAGCTTTTATGCATGTAGCCAAAATCAAATTTAATTGCAAAACAATAGTGCTCTTACATGCTGTTCTTTCACTCAGTGTGTCTCTGCTTGAAGGCTTTCTCTTCCTTCCTAATCTGCTGGGATAATAAAAGTGTTGGAACTTGGGAATACTAAGGGAGAGAAAAAAAAAAAAAATTCAAAACCTCTTTTATTCATTTATCATGTCTTCTTTCTTATTACTCCGTATTATATACAAAGTATCATTGTAACCTTTTTTCCTTAAAATATCAATTCTCTTCCTATATGGCTTATTACTTATCAAATTTGTACCATTTATGTACAGTATCAGAATGCTATTGTTTATCATTATACGAATGAATACTTACTAAGCAATGAGTTCTTGAATGAGGTCACAGTTATTGGCTGGAATTTTAAATGAATTATTGTGAGCATATGTCTGAGTTGTAAACTGAATATAGTTGTACTTCAATTAATTTAGCCGTTTGTCATTGATATTTTAGACCCAATCGATTTTTTACTTCGCATTTTATCTACTTGTAAGAAATTCATGATTAAAGTCGCAGGTCTTGGCTGATATTCTTCCTAGAGAGACACTTTTGTGGAAGCTGCAGATGATGAAATCAGCTTGCTCATTTGCTAATTCGCGTTTACATGCTGTCAAAGCTCAGATTTTAATTCTTGTCAGGTGGTCATTATTTTCATTTCATAAGTTTAATCAGTTACTGTTAAAACTAGAAAGATTTCTTTGCAGTTCTGATTTGCTATAACCCCAAGTTAAGGAATGAATATATCTTTAATCTTTGTAATCTTTAGTTTGGGGATTTCAAATTAACGTCCTTGAATACTTCTTAAGATTGATTATAATGTGTGTGTTCCTCGCCAGACCACATGGAGTGCCGATCACATTTAGATTTGTGAGGCGATTGTACCAATTTGGTTTTTGACCTGATGTACGCCGCAATAGCTTGTTTATTTTTATGGTAAATAGTATGTAAATCAAATATCTCACAAATGCAAATACAAGCATATAGCACACCTTTCTATATTTTAGTATTTGTGCAAATATGCAAAATTGCAAATAATACTAGGAAGCAGAGAATTAGAAATAAGATGATGTCAAATAAGGCAAAGATGGTCTTAGCTAATACTTAGGCAAGAAATGCAAAAGGTATATCAAACACTCCACAAAAACTTTTAATTCTTCATGAGAATCATCATTTCAAGAAGTCGTACAGTGATATACGACTTTCACTTGCTGTTTTCAGCTTTATTATTTGCAATTTATCACAGTGAAAGGGATCAACTTCTACCAAGCTTGGAGGAAGCAGAAAGGATTCGTGAAGCTTTACCAAAACAAGAGATTCGTGTGTTGAAAAACACTGGAAAAATGCCAAAGTGTGAGATTCGTTACTTCAAGGACTCTGGTCATTTTCTCTTCCTGGTTAGTTGAACATAGTCCTTCTTAAAAGTTCGAGACTGGATGCTGATATGGCACATTCTATTCTTCTTAATATGATACTCTTGTCTTGGCAAGATTATTTTCTTCCTTTTTATTTTTTCTGTTTAGTCTTGACATTTAATTTTTAATATGCTATAATTCACAGGAAGATGGTGTTGATATTGTGACCATTATAAAGGGTACAAGTCTATATCGTTGTGGTAAATTCCACGACTATCTTTCTGACTACTTGCCTCCCACTGACGCTGAATTTAAAAAACTATCTGATCCATTCAGGTAAATCATCATTTTTAGTATAAATTATCTGTGTGAACGTAGTAATGAGTCTAATGACACCAGATAGGAAAATTTCCAGAAGGAGAAAAGAAATGTTCTTGAGGTGATATAACCATATAATCCCTTCATTTCAAAGTATACTACATTTTAGATCCTAAAATGTTGATGTAACATTAGATGTCACTATAGAACACCAATGTCAACATACATCATCAACACAATTATATGTGATATTAACTGAATTCTTTTAGTGTTTAAGTAGCTATATTTCCTTTTATCTTGCAATGAAGGGGGAAATGAGGAACACTATATTACATGGTTCAGAATTCAGATTTTAAACATTTTGTGGATCTTGATTATAGTTGTTTTTATCATCATCATTGATCACAGATGGCTTGACATTGCTACTGGACTGGTGATGCTCTCTACTTTGGAGAATGGTAAAATTGTGCGAGGCCTTGCAGGAATTCCTAGTGAAGGTCCTGTACTATTAGTTGGAAATCACATGTTACTGGGTTTGGATTTATATCCTATAGTAATAAACTTTATGAAAAAGAGAAATATTATCTTGAGAGGTCTTGCACATCCTTTGTTTTTTGTAAAGCTGCAAGAAGACGTATTGGATATATCTATGTTCGATCCATTTAGGATCATGGGTGCAGTTCCGGTCTCAGCCAGTAACATCTACAAGTTACTTTCATCAGGTTCTCACATTCTGTTGTATCCGGGAGGAGTGCGCGAAGCTCTTCATGACAAGGTTATGTATCTCTTTTAAAATTGCGTCTTTCTTAATTCTAGCTTTTTTTGGTGGAAGTTTTTAGACGGATGTCAGAAACATGCAGCTTTCCCCATTAATTTACTTGGCTAATCTTGTATAGCTGTCCTTTTATGTAGAGACCAGCAGAGAATTATAAGCAACTCAAAGATTTTTTTAATATAAAAATGGCAGACAACTCCAATACAAATACTAAGTGTAATGGTAATACTAAAGAGCATTTCCTTTTATAGATCCACTGCTGGAAGAGAGTCAAAGTCAGAGAATTTTGTAGTCCTGTAACTGTATGAGTGTATGGCAATGGAATGTATTGGTTGACATTTTATAAATAACGTTCAATTAAACAATAACTATGCAGGGTGAGGAATATCAATTATTTTGGCCAGAAAGGTCTGAATTTGTGAGAATGGCTTCTAGTTTTGGAGCAAAAATTATACCTTTCGGAGTTATTGGAGAAGATGATGTTTGTGAGGTTAGCTCGTGTTTGTCTTAATACTTATTCCCATTAGGAATTTTACGCATACTCGATTATGATTATCCATTTTGTATTTCAAGTCTAAAACAATTAGCATACATATATGATTCTCTTACGCAAATTCATTCATATGCACTCATATATGACAAATCCCCTAGCATACCAAGGTATGCAATTTGTCAACAACCTGTTCTGTGGATGTACCTATGCGACATGCATAAACATGCTTGTCTCGCTATTACATCCATAATTTGCATGTATAATTTAAGGAAGTTTTTTTTTGTGTTGCATTTCTGCAGATTCTTCTAGACTCTGAAGATCAGATGAAAATTCCTTACCTCAGGGAAGCCATAGAGAAACGGACTAGTCAGATTCAATTAAGGTAATCCTGGTTCCGTATCCTAATATGACAAGATTTTTTATTTTTTTATTTTTTTATAAATCCTTCTACTAACTGGTATGGTATCTCTTGCTCTGGTTTTTACCTAACATATGAGCCCTCTAATAAAGGCTTGATATACGAAAAAACATCCATGAGCTAACCTTTGTTAAATTTATGATAGGACTGACTTGGAAGGGGAAGTAGCAAATCAAATTACGTATTTTCCAGGAGTTGTACCAAAACTTCCAGGCCGATTCTATTATATGTTTGGCAAACCAATTGACACAGCAGGTATCTTTCTGATTAGTGCATGCAAGGATTCTGTCTCATGTCCAGTAAACACTTCAACGCCTTACAGTTCATTTTTTCGAGTTTTTAGATGGCTTATGTATAACATGTAAATTAGTGAAATTTATCAATGTTAGATTGCAAGTAGTGGTAGTGTAATTTCCTGACTTCTCTATTTCTTCATCCGATCAAATTTTCTTTTAATGGTTTGTCAGTCATCGTTGCTACATACGATGATATGAACTTTGTTGTGTATGACAGGCATGAAGCAGGAGTTGAGAGACAAAGAGAAAGCACACGAAGTATATTTGCAAGTGAAGTCAGAGGTTGAGCGTTGCATCTCATATTTAAAGGAGAAAAGGGAAAAAGATCCCTACCGGAGTCTTGCTGCCCGAACATTGTACCAAACCATGCATGGCTCCGAGGCTGATGTTCCTACATTTGAGCATTAGTTATTATTTACGTACATGGAAGTTCCCTAATTACAAGAACTTACAGTATGTTATCTACAGTCCTACAGAGCTGCATACAATGGTCCAGTCACCCTGTATACTCCAACACAATAAATAAATTAAAAAGGGACCTTTACTATGTAAAATCAGACAAACGATTAATATATAACAATTCATTGGTGGCTTATTTACTTCCTGAACCATCATTTTCATACCTGAAGGAATAGATTTCATTTCTATCTTTACGTTGTCAACCACGATGCCAAGCCTCAGGTGGCACGACAAGTTTCGTTCATCACAGGAGACAGTTATTATAACTCATACAAGCCAGATTCAGTCGAGGAGTCCAGTAACTACTTGGGAGCTCCTGCTGATGACTGTTGATTTTAAGGCTGCTAACTACATCCTCCAAAGGAAACTCAGCCTTCAATACGATTCTGATTAATAGCCGAGCTCTTAGTATGAATGTAGCTTGATAATTTTCTACTTTCTGGCTTTGTAGTCCAAGAAAACTTGGAAGCACTATGTAAGTTTTCTTAATGAAACTGACAACATGCGTAAGTGCTACATATTGAGTTTTGACAAGTCATACTGTACTTCGTAGTATATATTCATTTGAAAATTGGCAATCAATTAGGGTAGTGAAATAAACATTGGGACATCGATAGGTCCAATAAGAGAATGGTCTTATTTATAGAGAGATCAAAGCTCAGCTATAAATTATACGGCACATTTGTTAAAATCAGAAAATGTGGAAATTGCTATGCATATATTACTTTATTTCATTGCCATATCAAATACGTATGGATTAGAAAATTTTCTACTTAGGTATCACGACTGTAATATAGTCTCTCAACGATTTTCTTAATTAGGATGTTAATTATGACTTGAAATCTAATACAATGGCGAAGGGTCAACTTCAAACGCACATATCTCTCGATCCAGAACTGATCTTGAGCTGATTCAAGTTGGAGGTTATAGCTTGTTTCAAGACTTTCCAGCGAGAGGTCATATGCCCAATTCCGATAAGAAACAAGAAAGTTATGGCAGTTTTACGAAGGACTATCGAAGCTGGGGAAGGGACACGGACGTGCCCTACATAGCACGCCCGTGCCTAGTTGCGTGAAGGCGTTTTTACTTCCTATTTCGGGTGTGCTTATGACGGCTACTAATGTTATTCCTTGGGGAATAATTTAGGGTTTCTTTTAGGGTTTTCTTATGTTATATAAGGAGCCGTTGGGTGGACAATTAGAAGTGCTAAAATTAATTAGCCTAGCCAATTCAAGCCAATATGTAACTCCATTGAAATATTTTGTGAGATGGAGAGTGTTGTATCTCATTTGTTTTATCTCTTGTTTATCCTCCATGAAAGCTAATAAGAAAACCTTACCCTATGAACGTAGGTCATGTTGACTGAACCACGTATATCTGTGTGTTTATCTCATTTATTTTTTTACTTTATTTCTCAAATTTATGTTTTATATATGTTGTTTATGTTCCGCGCATATCAAACACATACCTAAATCAATCGATCCTCGTCTATTTCCTAACATAGGAGTTATGCAAGCATAAAATTGTAAAACCAAAACATCAAGAATTTGCTCTTGTCAAAAGTCAGAATCATAAAAATAAAAGAAATAAAAAAGTAAAAAAAATTAAAGGAACCCTTTTAATTACTCCAGCTTTACTGCTTTTGTATAGAACTAATACTAATAAACAACGCAACATTGTCTGAAATAAAATAAAACAACCCTAACAAATAATAATCAAAACATCAAAGAATTGAATGAAGGATGAGTAAACTATCTATATATCAAATCTCCAGCATACATGAGATTGATCATAATCTTGGACAAATTAATTAAAGTTAATCCTCGAAAGAGTATGTACAGCCTATTGCAGCTCCAAACACCATGACGGGTTTAGCTTTGATTATGACAAAGTGAAGAGCGTTGTTGTACCGAAACGTTGCAAGAAGAATGTAATCATCTGTTTGTAGTCCATTCTCCTCCTTCAGCTTAGGCCACTGGTGTCTTAACCCGGACTTCAAAACATACTTAAATCTAGGATCCTCGCTGCTGCTGCTGTTGTTGTTCTTCTTCTTTTTATCAACGAAATAATTCCATCTACCTAGGGGCATCTCGTACACGGACAATCCCATGATGACCTTGACGTTAATATCCGCCTTTTTAAGAAGCTCTTTCTCATCATTTGTTAGAAACGACGCATCAAGTTTTTCTTGTGAACCTGCTGGGAGGGCTAGTCGTGCTGGTTTAGGTGCCATATCAGTTGGAGTCATTTTCTTTTCCATTATTATTTTCATATCGCTGACTTCATTGTATCCGAAATTATGCCTCACGTGCTCGATAATTGAGGCTTTAATAGAACCATCAGGATCAACAAAAGACAATTTACCACTTTTCTTATTATTAGGCTTCTTCATCTTCATCATCTTAGGTTTGTTGTTGCTCATGATCACGGGAGGTTTGAACTCGACTTTCGAGGCCTCGGGTTGTTTGTTGTGTTGTTGTTGTTTAAAGAGGGTTGTTGTTGTGATGATGGTTGTTTGGCAAAGGTAATATTCAAGTTGTAATTAGGGCTTCTCATAATGTAACACTCTCTTTGTATCTTGGCTTTTGGTTCTTCGTCTTCGGTATTTGGTTTTGTTGGAGATGAATTTGGTGTTGGCAAGGAAGACGAGGTTGTTGTAGCATTGTTGTTTCGTTTGTTGTTGGTCATGGTGGTGTTTTCTTGGGTTTCTGATTTCTCCATCGAAATCCATATGATCAAGAAAGAAGAACGATGAACAAGAGATAATAATTTCAAGGGAATGAATTGAATGAAGGTAGCTAGCTAACGAGCATATGTAGGAAAATAGGAATGAAGAGTTTGGGATGATGTAGGAGTGAATAAACGTTGTGAGCAAGTTACCTACTGTTATCTTTTTGCAGTAGTAATATGATATATTTTAGGAAATAAAATTAAAAAAAATTGTTCAAAAAAAATGATAATCTTATTTTAGGAAATAATATCTAAAAACCTCGATTATGATAGACAAATACTATGATATTTTAGGAAACTTATTAGTTTGGAAGCTATAGACTACAAGTATGCTGAGTTTTGTTTATATAAAATCTGATTTTTTCAATGTGATGATATAATTTCATTGTTGTAAATAATAATTACCCACAGCTGTGTCCAAGAATGATAATTTTAGATATTAATTATGAACGTAACGCGCATTTTCCCTCTTTAAAACAGAAAATTAAAAAAAAAAAAAAAATCTAAACTAATCCACATACAGCTAATTAATTTGAAGCATTAGCTTGAATTCACAAATAAAATCAGAAATTAATCTACCGCTAACTATTTACCATACTGCGTGATATTATTATTCTTCGAAATTCAGTGAATTTCTTTTAGCAAACAAAATTCAGTTAACTAAAAAAACTTGTTTTGGCCATCAACTCTGGTACAGAAATTTTATAAGATGATACAAATAAAAATTAAGAAATAAAATCATAACCGCTTGATCTTAACAACTCCGTAATTCCATATGGTCATTTTTGTACTTTATTCAATAACAAAAATAAAAAGTCCGTGTTTTGTAAATAAGAGAAGAAACAATTTTCATGCAAATTTAAAAAAAATATAACAAAACATAATGCAAAGGCTCTTAATTTTTCTAAGAGCGAGTAAAATCGTAAAGGTAAAATTACAAATCAAGTAATGATAAATTCCAAGTATAATATTTAAGAGTAATGAGCCATGTACTATTGTACTTGATTACTTCATTCGGTAATCAATTTATGATCACTAAACTGACATGAACACAAATACATCTACTCATTATCATGGTTACAATGGAATTGAGTTGGATTCCAATCCATTATGTATGCTATTTAGATAATAAATATTTTACTTGATTGGTAAATCATATTTTTTCATGTCACTAATACCAGGTAAATTATATTTTTTTTCAATCTGTAATAATGATCATTCATCAACATTTTTACCAGCTAACCAACTCGATCTACTTAATAATTTCTCTTAGCTAATTTACCAATAATAAAATATGAATTCATAGTTAAGTTGCCAATGAAAGTATTGTACGAGTATATATATATATAGTACTAGTAATAATAAGAGATAGGTTCAGATTCAAGGAAGTAGAAAGTAAGTGAAGTTCAAATTAAACCCAAAAAAAAAAATTAAACTGAAGAACAAACTTGATTCATAATTATCATAAATATCAAAACTAGGGTGTACTGTACTACAAGAGTAAGAGATGAGATAATATAACCCTCTTAATCAAGTTAATGCTAGCTTCATGCATAATTAGTAACTCTAATGGATAACATGAAATAAAACATGAAACTAAACCATTTTTTGTAATTTAATCCCATGCATAATACTGATTAATTAAGGAAGCACCAACAAGCTAAGATTATAGAGACAGGGAGAGGTCTATACTTTTTCCTCCTGAACGCTGGTGGTGGTGATTCTCCAAGGGAATAGGAGGAGTCAGCATGACCGCGGCCGGTGGCGGCAGAGTGTGCACCATACCCATTGTATTATAATAAAACCCGCCGCTACCGGTGTCAGCAACTTCATCAAAGTAACCATCAGGAGGCGCCACCACCACTGGACCACCGGACCCACAACCAGAAGCGGTATTAGGATAGTAAAAACCAGCTGCATCAGAATGTAGAGGTGCAGAACCATACACCGCCTCCATTAATCCATTATAATTAGTGTTAATAACATGATTATTATTATTATTATTATTAGAATGATTAACCTCAAAATTAGTACAACCTCCTCCTCCACTTGCATTACCATACCCAAACCCGTACCCGTATCCGTACCCGTATGAATACAAACACCCATCTCCATACCCAGAATTCACCGGAAAACCAGAAGCGGCGGTGTTGGTGGTGGTGGTGGGATTAACGACGGCGGTGGCCAATTGTTGGTGGGAAAACAGAGTAGCAGGAAAGTAAAGAGACCCACCTCCACCTCCTCCGGTTCCTCCGCCTTGAACGACGTCGTCATCGATGGAATAATAGGTGTTATCGGGGGTGTTAGAGGCGGCGGAGGTGGGAGATTCCAACGACAACAGACGGCGAGCGGCGGCTCTTTGAGCTTTATGGGCATTTTGATGGCCACCCAAAGCTTGAGAAGAAGTGAAGGTTCTAGAACAGTAATTGCAGCTGAAAACTCTGGTATTATTATCACTGCAACACTTCTTCATTTTGGGTTCTTTTCTGGGTTTTTCTTCGTAAATGGAGTGAGTTGAAGAGTTGTTACTATTATTAGTATAGTATGAAGGGTATTTCAGGAATTCATACAAGCTTCCATGGATAATAATACTGTTATTGGTATTATTATTATTATTATCATCTGAATTATCCCCCATTTTTGGAGTTGAGTTTGAGATGAAACTGATGAAATGAGCTGAGTATGTAGTGGTAATGATTAGGAGGAAGAAGAAGAAGAAGAGAGAGAAAATATGGGAGTTTTGGATTTGTTAAGAGGGGGGTTTTATAGAGAGAGAAAGCCAGAGGGGTTTAGGTGT